AATTTGAGCTTGAACCTCATAAGGTTGAGATCGGATTCAAATTAAAGTTGTGGAAATCTTGTAAAGGATTTGATTGGCTTTACTTTGAGCCTAATTACTTGGAAATCGGATTGAAATTAACTAAGTTAAAAGCCAAAATATGTGAGAATGTCATTTTGGAAAAAATTAATCTTCAAAAAATAACAATGAAGGACTAATTTGAACTTGACTTTGAGAAAACAGTGTGTACCTAAATTTAAATATTTGATATAAAAATCAAGCAAATATCTGCACAAATATTGAACCAGACAACAAATTTACAAAGAGAAAAATGCATTTTTGGGATTTATAGGCTTTCGAATCTTTATTTACTGATTTTTGAATGAAATTCTAGAGCCTGGAATAAACAAAAAATTAGACAAACAAAAAATGAAAAATAGAATAAATTATTCCACTCATGTGTTAGAAATCCCATAAGACAAGTGACGATGTTAAGAATTATAGCGAAAATTCTCTTTTCCATTTGTTTAACTAGAGAGAATTACAGCGATAATTCTCCCATGTGATTGTATACATGGTTGTCATGCTAATTTTTGATACAAACAAACGGTTCCTGATAGCAACCATTTATTTGTACCTATTGATTATTAAGATGTTCAAATCGTTTAATACATATTTATTTCCATATTTTTTGCATTCTCATACGTGAAATAATCCTCTAAATACCACTTGGGCTTTAAAATGAACCAGATAATTTTTCACTCATGCGTGTTTTCTCTGCAAATTTCACTCGTCCTACGGACTCGTGAAATTATAGAAAACACGCAATTGTGAAAAATTATCGGTAATTTTGAAGCTCTCGTGATATTATTCCCGAAAATTAAAAACAAAATATTAAAGTATAATCAATATTAAGAGAAAATGTCCAAAAGTTGTTCATTTTGGCTTTTTCTTTTAAAATTCCGAAAGAAAATTCCCAAAATTAGGATTAAATTGCATTTTAACTACATTTTTAGTAATTTTTCTCTTATTTTTGTTATACATTTTTCTTAAAATTCTTGTCTCTATTTCCCATTTCTTTAGGATCATTTTTTCTTTATTCCAGGCAATTGCATTTTCCTGATATATAAAAAAAATACCAAAAAAAATTCAAGGGAAAAATTAACTAATTTTTCTCGATTTCAGGCTATCCGATTTTCCTCATTCTTTATCGGTGTAAAGTTTACAACCCCCATGCAAAATCCCATTGACTCAAACCCCATCGAAACACAAAAAACTTTTGGGAAAAAAAGGACGCTGCAGTGATTCATTTCAAGGAATAATTAATTATAGGGACTTTTACCAACTATTACGATTTTTTACCAACTCGGCCAACATTATTGGGGGGTAAGGGGGGGCGCTCCCCCTCCTCCCTGTATATTCGTCCCTGGATACACCGCTTAGGGTACCTAAAAACACTTGCGAATAACTATGAGGGTAATTTTAGGGGATAAGTACGATTCATCGAAAAAAGGGTTTTTGTGAAAATATAGACATTTCCACCATAGTCTCTGGCACAAATGGTACAGGAAGTTATAGGCAGTACTGATATACACCGTTTAAGAAACCTCACTTGACTTGCAAATTACTTTGGAGGTGGTTTGAGGGGGTAAAACTAATAATTGCGATTCATCGAAAAAGGTTTTTTTGTGAAAATATTGACATTTACTGTATTCCTTTTATACATCGAGTTACACCTAACGAGCTCCTCGGAGTCAATCCAAAACACACAATTCAGATTTTATCATTATTTTTTAATATTTCCATTACCGTCATTACCTAAAAGGGCTTCTTGCACCCCCCGCAAATTTGGTGCATCAGGGGAAAGGGGGATGCCCTATGAGCGACTCGCGTGCTCAACGCACTTTTAAAAGGAACGTTCAAGCTTTTGACATTGAGCAGCTCAGAGTCACTCAACGGGTAAAAGGAATACAGTAATTTCCACCCTAGTCTCGAGCACAAACAGTACTATATTTCATATGCTCTATTTGGTTGATTTGACCTATCATTTTCTTTGAGTATACGGAGGAATTATGTTAAATGTTAGGGAATTACCGGAAATAAAAGGGAATTAAAGGCATTATGGGGAATTATGAGGCAATATTGGGAATTATTGGAAAATACAGAAAATAAAGGCAATATTCAGAAAATAATTCCCCCAAGGGGAAATATTTGTCAAAAATCTCAGGGGTGGTTTACCCTTTAGTTTTTGTGAAAATATGGACATTTCCACCCTAGTGTCGGGCACAAACGCTACAAATTATAAGCTGTACCAAAATACATCCTTTGGGGAACTTCACATGACTTGCAAATTACATTGGAGGTGGTTTGAGGGGATAAAACTAATAATTACGATTCATCGAAAATAGTTATTTATGCAACAAGTGCGTAAAGTGAACCTTTTTGTGGTGCTTTACGCACGTATTGCATACAAATTGTTTTTTACTACCAATAAAATATGTGTAAAACAATAAATTTAGACAAAAACTTTACGCACTAGTGCGTAAAGAATTTTCACTTTACGCACTAGTGCGTGAAGTTATTTACCAGAAAAATGCCAAATTGACAGTGTCGACATCTGTCATTGACATTACTTTACGCACTAGTGTGTGAAGTGAATTACATTACGCACTAGTGCGTGAAGTGAAATTTTACGTCTTCTTAATTGTGCGTAAAGTGAGTACTTTACGCACGGTAGTAGAAAATAGTTATTTATGCAACAAGTGTGTAAAGTGAACCTTTTTTCACGAATGTGAATTTTGACGCACGAGCCGAAGGCGAGTGCGACAATCACATGAGTGAAAAAAGGTACTTTACGCACGTATTGCATACAATATTTTTTCTACTACCAATCAAATATGTATAAAAAAATAAATTTAGACAAATTCTTCACGCACTAGTGCGTAAAGTATTTCCACTTTACGCACTAGTGCGTGAAGTAATTTACCAGAAAAATAGTAATTTGACAGGTTGACATCTGTCATTGACATTACTTCACGCACTAGTGTGTGAAGAGAAATTTTACGTCTTCTGAATAGTGCGTAAAGTGAGTACTTTACGCACAATAGTAGAAAAAAGGGTTTTTGTGAAAACATGGACATTTCTACCCTAGTCTCGGGCACAAACAGTACTGAATATTAAAGGCAGTACCAAAATACATCATTTGGGGAACTTCACTTGACTTGCAAATTACTTTGAGGGTGGTTTAAAGGGGTAAAATTAATAATTGCGATTCATCAAAAAAAGGTTTTTCTGAAAATATGGACAATTCCACCCTAAAGTTCATGAGACGACATAGTGATAGTAAACAAACTTTGACAGGTAAGTCGAATTTAATTGGCTAGAAAAGGATTATAATTCGCCCTAGGCAGGACCGTCTTAGGTTGTTTTGTATTTGTATTCTCTGAATATCTTTATTTTTGATCTTCAGCAGAATTTGTTGGACTTGACATTGTTTTAATCTCAATTGCTCACTAATTAACAATAATTCACCAAACACTATTTGAATAATTATAGTTTGGCAAGTGGTAACTTGGTAGAGACGAAAGGGGGAAGAAAAGTGGGGCGTAACCTAAGAATATTCACTGACACCTCAACTGACACCGCCTGATGACAACCATGTCTTTGGGTTCAGTGGCACCGAAAACACCAAGGAAATAAACCAAAAAATTATTAGGAAAAAAATGCTTGAGTTTCACGAATAACCACACCACTGGTGCTGTCGTTCAGGCTCTAACCAATAGAATCATGCCTCTGAATAATCACACCTCTCCGCTTCCTTCATTTCGTAATGTTGCCGGATTTTTTCCTATTTCAAAATACAACACGGCCCATATTACAAAAAAAAATATGTCACCAACTTGTTTATTATTGTTTCTGTCAAGTTTGGCATAGCAGCAAATTCTTTTTGAGTTCGCCGTTTGCCAGAGACTATATAAAATACTAGGAAATACGACACCAAAACCTATTGACTCATTTGACAACCTGCCAACAATAAATGTCACTGGATGTAATTCATATTTTTGCACTATTTCTCTGAATTTTTAAGCTCCGCCTGTTTGTTTACCTCTACTATCTCGTTTCGTGGAATGAACTTTTTTTTAGTCTTGGGCACAAACAGTATTGCAAATTATAGGCAGTACCAAAATACATTGTTTGGGGAACGTTACTTGACTTGCGAATTACTTTGAGGGTGGTTTAAGGGGGTAAAACTAATAATTGTGATTCATCGAAAAGAGGGTTTTTGGGAAAATATGGATATTTCCAACCTTGTTTTGGGCACAAATGGTATATGAAAGGTATAAGCAGTACCAATATACACCGTTTAGGGTACCTAAAAAGACTTGCAAATAACTTCGAGGGTGGTTAAAGGGTGTAAAACTAATAATCACGATTCATCAAAAAAAGGGTTTTTGAGAAAATATGGACATTTCCACCCTAGTCTCGGGTACAAATACATATGATACTGGAAGTTATAGGCAGTAGTAGACCAATATACACCGTTTAGGGTACCTAAAAAGACTTGCAAATAACTTTGAGGTATATAGGTATATTTTTGTTTTTTAAACTTTTTGCAACACCCTGTATGAACAAAACTATGTTTTCTGAGAAACAAACACTAAAAAATAAAAATATACCTTCTCTATTTACATTTTTTTTCATATACAGTGGTGGACAAAAAAGGAGGGTGGGAAAATATAAAAAATGACCCTGAAAAATTCAAGAGCCTGGCATAGGCAGAAAAATTTATCTATTCCATTGCATGTGTGCTAGGACTGCTAGGGACTAGAAAACATCAAATAATATCTATTTCTTAGAAATTTATGAGCTTAGGTCTAATTACATTAAAAATTTCTGACTGAAAATCGTACGACTTGTAAAGAGTGCGCAAAGTAAGTACTTTACAGTTACATGTTGCTTGTATAACTTTTTGGCAAAGGACTCTAGTTTTTAAACTTAACTAAAACAAAGTAAATTCTTACCTGCAACGGTGAATCTATCCATATAATTAATTAAATTTACGTAACACAAAACAGCGACCGAGACCCATTCGTGCCATTTTACGTCGCCCCACGATCTTTCTTGCACGTTTTGTTCAGTTTCGCGCACCAATTCGGCCTGCGAATTATTTTGTTCCATAATGTTCAATTTTTTCAATACGAAATTCGAACTTTTCTCTAGTTTTCCCGAAGGCATCGTAACGGGTCCCTGCAGCGACAACGGCGACCGGCCGAATGGAAGAAATTTGAAATTCGTTCCATGTTGGCGGTAATAGTACTACGCATGCGCTGGATAAAATCACCTGATGAATGAATAGGTCAAATAATGGATGATGTATAGGGTTTTTTTACTATTTATTTTTTACCTGGCTATTTTAACTTTAACTGATAAAAATATTGAGGAATTTGTTAGTGTTTTCTTTACTTATCAGTATTGACTGATAAATATGCAAATTAATAAACCGATTCAAACTAAACACACAAAGGAAAAGGTGACCAGGCAAAAACGTATACTATTTTTATTCATAAATAGCCCGCTGTCAGTTGTCAAAAATACGTCATTCATTCATTTGGATGTTGCTACAATAGATAAAATGGCAAAAATTATGTAAGGTTATTCCTTTATTTAAAAATAATAGCATGCTTCTAATATGCAATTATTTAATATGTAATAAAAAGCTAATTTACCATTTCATTGTCCTAATAATATGAAAGATGAAAGCCAAGGTTATATGATAGCAACATTGTATTGCTACACAATTATGGCGGACAAGTAATTCAGGAGTTGGCGGTTTTAAAATGCCTCTAAATAGGGATAAGAATAATTATTCCTTTTTTAAAAAGAAAATGCAATGCCATGTTAATTTTATTCATTTATTGATAATTAAATTTATTATGAAACCAACATTGTGTTGCTGAAGTTGCTACTCAATATGGCGGACAAGAGATTCCTGATGGATTGGCGACTTGAATGGGCTTTGTTCAAAGTAGGTAATAGAAAATAATAGAGCCTCCTGGATTTTATCAATAAATTTCTACTTCTTATTATCGAGTCCTTTACTTAGTTTTTTTGATAATAATTAATAGTATTCCATACTTAATTCTGTTGTTTCTTTCTGCTATCGTGCATGAAGTACTCATCACTTCACACTAGGGTGACCATATTTTTTTTGTATGAATGCTGTACACATCTAAAATTTTGGGACAGGTGAGTGGAAAAAGCACTAAATGCAAATTTTGTCGACTTTATAGCCCGTTTTAGTACCACTTAACAAAAAAACAAAAAAAAATTAGGGCCGGTTTCTCAATAGCAGGTCACCTCCGGGTTAAGCTAACTTCAGGGTAAACATTGCAACTTTACACGTTAACCCTGGAGTTAAAACCAACCCGGGGGTGACTCGCTATTTAGAAACCGGCCCTTAAAGACATAACAGGTCTGTTCGCACCGAAATCACAAACCAGTCAGAGTGAATTTCATTGGTTGAAACCAAGGTTGTTTGGAAGAGGTAGGTTGGCTGATAACTTTTATGACGTCATCTGGATACCTAAACATATTGCAAATCTCCATTATATATTCCTGATGACGTCATCTGTTTACCACTACCAGACAACCTATTATAAGGAACCTTGGGTTGAAACTAGTGGCGTTTCCGATTGGCAGATTAAGTGCGGAACTAGTGCATTTTTTTTTATTTCTGTCTTTTTCTTCTACATATCGATTGAATGGATGCAAATACACTCGGCGCTCATTGAATCTACCAATCGGAAACGCCATAGTTTTCTGACTTTCTGACTATTTTCAACTAATGAAATTCTGACTGGTTTGTGATTGCTGCAGAAACAGACCTATTATGCTGTGTCTTCTTCTTAGCAGCGAGGAATAGAGGGAGATAAAAAAGGTAGTTAGCATTAAAAAGAATACTCTGGGAGATGATGGCGTAAATCGCGTAAATAACGTAAATCGCAAATGTCGTTAGTTATTGACGGACAATTTTTCGTAATTTTTTTTTAAGAAAAACTTAATTTTGATCGGATCCCAATCGCTGTACGTTTGCTGTACAAAATCAAATGCTAGACAGACTTCGAAAATGCTGTAAAATACAGCGAAATGCTGTTCGTATGGTCACCCTACTTCATACTTCACACACTGTTCAAAACGCGTAAAATTTCACTTCACACACTAGTGTGTAAACTAATTCACTTCACACACTACACCATTTCCAATTGACCTTTTCAATTTAAAAGCTTCTCTCTCTGGCGTCAAAATGTCAGACGCCAAAAGAGTATGAAAACAACGGTTGACAGCCGTTGACAGTGGTTTGTTGACAAGACTTTTGTACATGTGGATACTGGAAACTATTATTTCCTCGGTTTTTTCAAAGTTTTTTCCTAACAATGGTGATTGTGTAGTGTGCCTTTTTGTAAAAATAACTCCTATTTACCGGCGGACGTGTCTTTCCATAAGTTTCCATCAAATCCTACATTTGTCAAATTTTGGATACATAAAATCAGAAAGAATACTCGCAAAAAAAAAGGGAATCCACGGCCCATCAAGTATACAAAGTAATCCACGTTCAAGTTTAGTTTGCGGGAGCTGTTTGCTTCCAAAATAATTCACTGCTTTCTCCATAGCGAAGTTCTGCAAACTTTTCCCACAATTTCTTTCAAAGCACCCAATACACATTGGCATTGACAAGCAAGCAAATGTTGGCGGGAAAATGATTGTTTTCATACTTTATTGTCCATCTCTTTTAATTGAAAACGTCAATTGTATTTCAGAAAGTGTCAAATGTATTTCAGAAACTGATAAATGTATTTCAGAATAACCAAATGTATTTCAGAAAGCGTTAAAAGTATTTCATCAGAATAGCCAAAAGTATTTTAGGAAGTGAAAATTCGGCGGAAATAATTCAGGAGGGAGGCGACACAGAAAATTACCTACCTATATCTGTGCAGTTTTTCCTACATTAGCCCGACTTACCCAACACAAGCTTAATAGTAGTATTTAACTATTCTGAAATTCATTTAACGCTTTCTGAAATACATTTAACTATTCTGAAATACATTGTAACTATTCTGAAATACATTTGACGCTTTCTGAAATCAATTTGGCTATTCTGAAATACATTTGACATCTTCTGAAATACAATTGGAAAAGGTATAGTGCGTAAAGTAATGTTAATAACAGAAGTCAGCAACTGTCAATCAACGACGTAGCTATAGCTTTTTCATGGGGGGGGGGGGGGGCGTTTAGAGCAGTGGCGGCTCGTGGTCTATGTTGGAAGGGGTTTCAATTTTAGACCAGACGATGTATAGGTAACCTGATCTGGAACTCCATAACGAATAGAGATGTTTTCTCTATCTCTATTGACGTCCCCTCTCTATTGATTTCGAGAAGAAAGAAGAAGACAGCAAATGCCATAGCGATAGGGATAACGATCTCTATCCGTTACAGAGTCCCAGCCCTGGCGGCGTAGCATAGCTCAGGATATCGCTGGAGGCGAAAAATTTTTTCGGCTGCCACGCCCAAAAACGTTTATTTCTCTTACGCACTAGTACGTAAAGTATTTGTCTAAATTTATATTTCCACATATGTCATTGGTAGTAGAAAAAAACTTGCATGCAATAGCAATATGTGTGTAAAGCTCCTCATGTGATTGATAAATCACCCCAAATTGCTTAACACGATTTTATCTCAGGAACTATAAGTCCAAATGAGCGGAAATTTCCAGGAATTGTAATTCTCTATTGGTATAAGACTCGTTGAAAAATTCAGCTTTCTATCTTTAATAGAAAAAAAGATGACCTAAAAGTTTTCCAAAATCTAAATCATACGATTCCTTCTTACTGAAACTAACGCTGAAATGATGAAATTTCAAATTCTTATGAGAAGTAAGTCATTTCCGACGTCGAATTTTGATCAATCGAAGTTATAGTTATTTATGTATCAAGGGAATTATGAGGGTGTTAATACCCCAGGACAAAGTTTATGTCCCGGGCCTTCGGCCCGAGGGACACCAATTGCCCGTGGGTATTAACACCTGATAATTCCCGTGGTACATAGATAATTTTATTTCTTACTGAATTTACTGTAGGGGAGGGTGGGCCACTATGAGACGCGTTTACCATGAGACAGTCGCCATTATTTTTTAATAACATGGGCTATTTGTCTCTATTTCACAGTACATCAAGTATTAAACATGTTAGTCTTATTTCTGTTACCAGAGAAGCTGCACGTGCGCCCCCGAACATTTTGTCGGTTTCGATTTGTTTTCGCCATAGTGAAGTTTCTTTAGCTGTAAGTTCAGTACTTCATTAGTCGTTCCCAATATATTTTCATTTGGTTCTGAGGTTTCCAACACACCACGTGGATATTAATTTCATTGTTTATGTATATTACGAGTCGATTTTTTCACGTTTTACCAAAATATTGCGGTTTGTAACTCAGACCTACCATGGGCTACAATGAGACACGAAGTTTGGGCCACCTTGATACGTGTCTCAAATGTCGAGAAAAAAATATTTTGTTCAAAACATGTCACGAGGACGCAAAAGAAAATTTCATAAGGCTTGTTTAGTGCCGAATCAATAAAAAGGCCTGTCGAAGATGTGATTGAACATAAATTAAGCTTTAAGGAATGCAGTAAAGAAAAAAAACGTGAAACATCAAACATTTGCAAGATATGTTGAAAAAACACAAAATAATGAAGAAAAGTTATATTACTACCCTCGTTACGATGTATTATTTTTGAATAAATATGATTTTTCTCCTTTTTTCTCGGTTTTTATGTACCCACCTCATGGGCTACCTGAGACAAAATCAGATTTTTTTAGATTTCCCTATAAAATAAAATAAATAATATTGTGCTTATAATTTATTCAAAAAATGTGTGCAAAAAGATGAATGATTATGAGGCTCACGAAACTGTAGCGAAAAAATTAAAATTACCAATTTTATCCCCAAAAAAGTAAAAACTGTCTCAACGTGGCCCACCCTCCCCTATTTTGTTCATTTTTATAAAGGAATAAACCATAAACCAAAATTTCTATTTTTTGTCAAAGTTTCACCTATTCAAGGTAATAGCGGGAGTTATGGAAATCCAGAATCCTTAACTCCCTTGGGAGTTATGATATCCTTAACTCCCGCGCGGGAGTTATGAAATCCTTAACTCCCTTGGGAGTTAAAGACCCTGTTTATGATTATTGTAACCAAGGTATTATATGGTTATAATAGTTCAGTAGGAAATAAATCTATTTAAAATCGATGCCATAACGACTAACCTTTGCTGCTTGGGATGCTTGTTGGAATAGGAGAAAAGACCTGATGCTGGAAAACATCCTCCAGTATTTTAAATGCTTGAATATAGATTTGGATCAGACCAATGACGATCAGACGACTTTTTCGCAGATCTGTTTTTGTATTAAAATTGTATTCGCTAATATATCCCTCTATATCTTAGGCCCGGTTTATAAATCTTGGAATAAACTTGCTAATATCAATTAATTAATTATACAATTTTAAAATTTCATTAATTGATTCTTGGACCGTGTTTGTATTGTTTCGTTTTTATCGCCTTGGAGCTTTTATTGGACATTTTCTGGACACATCAGTAGGTGTGGCGATTTAATTCCAACGATAAATCCCTTTTGTTTTAGACGAACAATTTTGTAAGTACACTGTTTTTGTCTAGTAAATGTGTACCTAATGATTTTTTAAGTGTGATGGTTACACACAATGCAAAATCTTCCAAATGGAAATGATTCATCCATTAACAAAATTTTTAATGAATGGCTTGAGTGTTTCTCTTTTGAACGACTCTTTGTGATGATTAATGAATTTTTGAACTAATAAGCAAAACACATACTCACCATTCATTGAAGAGTTTATTAATGAATGAACAGAGTAGTGACTTAAAATGACTCCTTTAACTCATTCATTTTCAATTTTCAATAAGTCATTATTTTTCTTGGAACTGTTTATTAGCGCCATACAATAATTGTACAACTCAGATAACATGTATTTCAGATTCCAAAATGCTGTATTTCCCCTTTTAAAAAATAATGTCTGATTCAGAAGACGACAGCAACGAAAAGCAACTCAAAGTGGTTGTTTTGGGTGATTCAAGTGTTGGTAAAGTATGTATAAATAAACTACTAACTAAAATCAGAATTTGTTTATTTATAATAATGTTTTATAGACGAATCTTATCAAACGATTTTGCTATGACGAATACTCAAGAAGCTACACTCCAACAATAGGAGCCGATTTTTATATAAAACGAATCACTCTGGCTGAAAATAAGGAAATCAACATCAGAATTACTGATGTTAGCGGCTCAGAACTTAACAAAACAATGTTTGCGACTTATTTATTTAAAGCTGATGTAAGTATGAAAATTTACTTGAATTTTTTTAAATTGAATGCCCTCAGATGATCTTTTTGGTCTACGATATAACCAAATCCGAAAGTTTCGATTCTTTGATTTCATGGCTAAGAAAAATAGATGAGGTTCTGGACAATAGGACAATTTTTATTGCAGTAATAGGCAACAAATGTAAGTAACTTTTCAACTACCTACAATTATATTTTATTTATATAATTGCCTATTTATTTAGGTGATTTAGAACATAAAAGATCAGTAAGACTAGACAAAACGAATAGTTTTATTACCGACAATAAATTATCCAATAATTATTTTGTTTCTGCTAGAACTGGAGAAAATGTAAGTTTTAATTGCTTTTTACAATATAATTGCTAATTGAAGCTTTTCAGGTCAATTCTTCATTTGTAAACCTAATTTCGAAATATTTCAATTTACCATTGGATAAGCAAAGGCCGATAATAAAGGCCGAGCTCGTGCCAACAATGAACAGAAAAATTCAACGAAGAAAAGTTATGGCTACAAATCAATCTTGTATGATACAGTAATAAATAAAATCTGGGTTTAAATTTCAAATCTCATCCTGCTAAAACGGTATATACAAGTTCACCTCAGCAAAGCAGCAAAGTGACCATCAGCAGGTGAAAATTTTCATTCTGTTTTTGTTCTGCATTCGGTTCAGGCGGTTATATCGAACCAAAATCCTGCTGATGGAGAATCATGAGAAAGCTGTGACGAATTCAGAGAAAAGAGAAAAGTAAAAAGTGGTGGAGAAAACAGTGTCAACGCGACGATTTTCTTTTAAGTTTAAAACTGCGGTGTTTTCTCATAATTTTAAATTTTTTGCAATGGGGTATTTCCAAATATAATTGAATAATTTTTAAGTGCTCATTGTTGTTTCGATTTATCGAGGAAATACCTATATTTAATATAGGTATTAAAACAAACTAGTTTTGTTTAAAACTTGATGGTAAGTAACACTTTGATTCTTTTTGTATATGAGTTAAATATCCAGGCCCCTGTGGATCGATAATCAAAACAGCCAGTAGTATTATATAAGGTCAAAGTTTATAGATTTTTTCTCCTGCTTGTATCATTTTGATCGACATTTAAGTATACCAAATGCAAATGAATTTTAAAATATAGGCCGACCAAATAACTGTATCTAGAAGTGAAGTGATGCATTAATAATGATTTTGGCTTGATTATTTCGACACTTAAGGCAACATTTTTCAACAATAATTGAGTTTTAATTACATATTGCCAACATGTTCGAGTTTTTCCTTATTATTATAAAGGTGGGTAGGTACCTATACATATAGTTTATTAATAATAATTCTCATCAATTCAAACTATATACCTAAGTATTTACCTACTATTTTTATTCATTGCAGACTCTGCTTTTGCTGTCAAGGTTTTTAGAAAAAAATGCAAATTTTTGCATAAATTAACAATAATGAAATACTTACATAAATGTCAGGGTATTATCGGTATCTTTTACGAAATGATGAATCAATAACTCCACATCAAAATCCATAAATTTTAGTTTAGTTTCAATGTTTTCAACAATGGATCTTTATCAATTATTGAGAAATTATATTCATTAGCTTTCATTCCTGCACTGTTTCCATCATTCATCGGTTTCCAGCCTCAGTTTTTAGTTTCCATTGTCATAAGATCTCCAAAGTATGCATTGATTTATAAGTCATCCACGAAATTGTTACCTTCAGGGTTTTTATATATTTGGATTTTTTTTTCTTAATTCTTCAGAGTTTTAATTAGAGTTATTTCCGTTATTCTAATTCTTCGCAAGTTTTCCTTTGGTTGAGCTTCTAGGAAAACGTATTTCCCTTGAAATTTATAAGTGGATGAAAGTTTTATAATAAAACTCTCAACTTCAAATTTACAAGAAATATAATCCAAAGTGTCCTTTATTGACTGGAACAGACCCCAAGTTGATACCAGCATTGAAACTTTATGCTTTTTTTTGTCAGAAATTGAATTTTTAGTGAAGGACATTTGAGAAAATATAGGTTTTTTCCTGTGCATTTGTCAATTTCAAATTTGCAGGAAATACAGTCCAAAGTGTCTCTCATTGATTCAAAATGTTTCGGCAAACTTTTGCATTTTGCGTAAAGAGCACATTGTAAGTATGACAACTCTTATATTTCTTAAATCCTGATTTCTATACTTAATAATCAACTATTAAAAGATTTATGTTTTACAATTATTGATCATTCAGCTTGGATCAAAACCATGTATTTTATTCATAATTTGCAACGGCAATAGAACACGAAAATGAAAATTATTATAAACCAAAACTGTGAAAGTGAAAATAACGAGGATTAGTGTACGCTTTGAAGCCTAATTAAAAAAATTTACACAAGTTTACAGTTAGAATTATTTGTGGTCTGATAATTTGTTTAAACAAACTTCCATGTAGATAATATTTACTTTCTGAATCACAGAACCATATCATTACAATGTCCTTCAATAACAATTCATTCATAAAATGAATTTTATATTTTTCCAGCACTTTTATTAATACTAAAGCCAAAAACCATGTCACCTGTGATAAAATCCTGCATTTTCTTGGCAATAATTTCCATTAAAGTATCAGCACAAAGTAGCAACTTATCCAACGGCTTCAATCAAGCTCAGCTAAGTTCAAAAATCAACGTGGCAGATGATTCAATTAGTTTTCCATCAGACGATTCTGGTTCAGACACTAAAAGAATTTCGGTAAGCAATAAATTCATTTAACCAAAACTTCAATATTATCAAAAAAAATATGAAATTTTCAGAATGAAGGCCAATTCCTGGAACCAGAAGAACGCCGCTACGTTTCAAACGATCACACCAACCACAATCTGGATAATCAAAATTCTGAACCATTCAAAGTCGATCCAGTTTACCATAAATACGATCAAATGACTCAGCTCCTGAGACAAACTACTGCCAAATATCCGTCCTTAACTGCATTGTATTCAATTGGAAAATCCATACGAGGAAGAGATTTATGGGTCATGGTCGTATCAGCTTCGCCTTACGAACACATGATTGGCAAACCAGATGTTAAATATATAGGAAATATTCACGGAAATGAAGCTGTTAGTCGTGAATTACTTTTGCAATTGATACAGTATTTGGTAACAAGTTACAGTTCAGATCCGTACATAAAGTGGCTCTTGGATAACACAAGGATCCACATAATGCCGTCAATGAATCCAGACGGTTTTGAAGTTTCAAAAGAAGGCGTATGCGATGGGGCTCAAGGGAGGTACAATTCGCAAGGGTACGATTTGAACAGGAATTTTCCGGACTATTTTAAGCAGAACAATAAAAGGCCCCAGCCTGAAACTGAAGCTGTTAAGGAGTGGATCAAGAAGATTCAATTTGTGCTGAGTGGGAGTCTTCATGGTGGGGCTTTAGTTGCCAGTTACCCGTTCGATAATACTCCTAATTCACGTAAGTGATTTATTTAATTTGATTAATTGAGTGATTATTCCCGGCTCTTGATTCGAATCAACGGTTAAATTTTACATTTTTGGACCCAGAAAAATGTTGATCATTTGACGTTGCCCATAACTCCATTAATATTTCACAAATTCTACTTTATATTTATATATTCTTAATCAGAATTAAATGCTCTTCAAGATAAAACAAAATTGAATTATTTATCTCAAATAGTTTCCAAGATATTGAGCCTCAAAGTTGAAATTTAGTCTCAAATTTTAGAAAATCTTCAAAGCCGATCATCTCGAAAACGAAGCCCTAAGGCTCAGTGTCCCACATGACCTTTTTTGAAGCCCGAATCAAGATCTACAAGTGAACAAAATTTCTTACTAATAGCTTCTTTGGTCTCCAAAATATGGCTCTTTGAAATATTAAAATTTCCTTGCATACCCCTTAAAAAAATTTCAATTTTGATTTTTCCAAGTTTTCCAGTTTTTGACTATACCAATAGAAAGAGGGGGTCAAATTTAGTAGAAAAGCGTTTTCGTGACTTTTCTTTTGGGGGTTTAAGGGCCTGCAAAAAATTAGAAATAGTTTTTCAATATTTCGCCCTGAAAAGTTTTGATCATCCGACATTGTCTTACAAAATTGCTCAAACCTCAATTAATTTTTTATAAATTCTAATGCACATTTATATATTCTCAATCAGAATTAAATGCTCTTTAAGATAAAACAAAGTTGAATCATTTATCTCAAATAGTTTTCAAGATATTGAGCCTCAAAATTGAAACTGTCTCAAATTTTAGAAAACCTTCAAAGCCGATTATCTCGAAAACGAAGCCCTAGGGCTCAGTGTTCCACATGACCTTTTTTGAAGCCCGAATCAAGATCTACAAGTGAACAAAATTTCTTACTAATAGCTTCTTTGGTGTCCAAAATATGGCTCTTTGAAATATTAAAATTTCCTTGCATACCCCTTAAAAAAATTTCAATTTTGATTTTTCCAAGTTTTCCAGTTTTTGACTATACCAATAGAAAGAGGGGGTCAAATTTAGTAGAAAAGCGTTTTCGTGACTTTTCTTTTGGGGGTTTAAGGGCCTGCAAAAAATTAGAAATAGTTTTTCAATATTTCGCCCTGAAAAGTTTTGATCATCCGACATTGTCTTACAAAATTGCTCATACCTCAATTAATTTTTTATAAATTCTAATGCACATTTATATATTCTCAATCAGAATTAAATGCTCTTTAAGATAAAACAAAGTTGAATCATTTATCTCAAATAGTTTTCAAGATATTGAGCCTCAAAATTGAAACTGTCTCAAATTTTAGAAAACCTTCAAAGCCGATTATCTCGAAAACGAAGCCCTAGGGCTCAGTGTTCCACATGACCTTTTTTGAAGCCCGAATCAAGATCTACAAGTGAACAAAATTTCTTACTAATAGCTTCTTTGGTTTCCAAAACATGGCTCTTTGAAAATGAAATTTCCTTGCATACCCCTTAGAAAAATGTCAATTTTGATTTTTCCAAGTTTTTCAATTTTTGACTTTACCAATAGAAAGAAGGGGTCAAATTTAGTAGAAAAATGTTTTCGCGATTTTTCTTTTGGGGGTTTAAGGGCCTGCAAAAAATTAAAAATAGTTTTTCAAAATTTCGCCCTGAAAAGTTTTGATCATCCGACATTGTCTTACAAAATCGCTCATACCTTAATTAATTTTTTATAAATTCAAATGCACATTTATATATTCTCAATCAGAATTAAATGCTCTTTAAGATAAAACAAAGTTGAATCATTTATCTCAAATAGTTTTCAAGATATTGAGCCTCAAAGTTGAAATTTAGTCTCAAATTTTAGAAAATCTTCAAAGCCGATCATCTCGAAAACGAAGCCCTAAGGCTCAGTGTCCCACATGACCTTTTTTGAAGCCCGAATCAAGATCTACAAGTGAACAAAATTTCTTACTAATAGCTTCTTTGGTCTCCAAAATATGGCTCTTTGAAATATTAAAATTTCCTTGCATACCCCTTAAAAAAATTTCAATTTTGATTTTTCCAAGTTTTCCAGTTTTTGACTATACCAATAGAAAGAGGGGGTCAAATTTAGTAGAAAAGCGTTTTGGCGATTTTTCTTTTGGGGGTTTAAGGGCCTGCAAAAAATTAAAAATAGTTTTTCAATATTTCGCCCTGAAAAGTTTTGATCATCCGACATTGTCTTACAAAATCGCTCATACCTCGATTAATCTTTTATAAATTCAAATGCACATTTATATATTCTCAATCAGAATTAAATGCTCTTTAAGATAAAATAAATTTGAATCATTTATCTCAAATAGTTTTCAAGATATTGAGCCTCAAAATTGAAACTGTCTCAAATTTTAGAAAACCTTCAAAGCCGATTATCTCGAAAACGAAGCCCTAGGGCTCAGTGTCCCACATGACCTTTTTTGAAGCCCGAATCAAGATCTACAAGTGAACAAAATTTCTTACTAATAACTTCTTTGGTCTCCAAAATATGGTTCTTTGAAATATTAAAATTTCCTTGCATACCCCTTAAAAAAATTTCAATTTTGATTTTTCCAAGTTTTCCAGTTTTTGACTATACCAATAGAAAGAGGGGGTCAAATTTAGTAGAAAAGCGTTTTCGTGACTTTTCTTTTGGGGGTTTAAGGGCCTGCAAAAAATTAGAAATAGTTTTTCAATATTTCGCCCTGAAAAGTTTTGATCATCCGACATTGTCTTACAAAATCGCTCATACCTCAATTAATCTTTTATAAATTCAAATGCACATTTATATATTCTCAATCAGAATTAAATGCTCTTTAAGATAAAACAAAGTTGAATCATTTATCTCAAATAGTTTTCAAGATATTGAGCCTCAAAGTTGAAACTTAGTCTCAAATTTTAGAAAACCTTCAAAGCCGATTATCTCGAAAACGAAGCCCTAGGGCTCAGTGTCCCACATGACCTTTTTTGAAGCCCGAATCAAGATCTACAAGTGAACAAAATTTCTTACTAATAGCTTCTTTGGTCTCCAAAATATGGCTCTTTGAAATATTAAAATTTCCTTGCATACCCCTTAAAAAAATTTCAATTTTGATTTTTCCAAGTTTTCCAGTTTTTGACTATACCAATAGAAAGAGGGGGTCAAATTTAGTAGAAAAGCGTTTTCGTGACTTTTCTTTTGGGGGTTTAAGGGCCTGCAAAAAATTAGAAATAGTTTTTCAATATTTCGCCCTGAAAAGTTTTGATCATCCGACATTGTCTTACAAAATCGCTCATACCTCAATTAATTTTTTAAAAATTCTAATGCACATTTATATATTCTTAATCAGAATTAAATGCTCTTTAAGATAAAACAAAGTTGAATCATTTATCTCAAATAGTTTTCAAGATATTGAGCCTCAAAATTGAAACTGTCTCAAATTTTAGAAAACCTTCAAAGCCGATTATCTCGAAAACGAAGCCCTAGGGCTCAGTGTCCCACATGACCTTTTTTGAAGCCCGAATCAAGATCTACAAGTGAACAAAATTTCTTACTAATAACTTCTTTGGTCTCCAAAATATGGTTCTTTGAAATATTAAAATTTCCTTGCATACCCCTTAAAAAAATTTCAATTTTGATTTTTCCAAGTTTTCCAGTTTTTGACTATACCAATAGAAAGAGGGGGTCAAATTTAGTAGAAAAGCGTTTTGGCGATTTTTCTTTTGGGGGTTTAAGGGCCTGCAAAAAATTAAAAATAGTTTTTCAATATTTCGCCCTGAAAAGTTTTGATCATCCGACATTGTCTTACAAAATCGCTCATACCTCAATTAATCTTTTATAAATTCAAATGCACATTTATATATTCTCAATCAGAATTAAATGCTCTTTAAGATAAAACAAAGTTGAATCATTTATCAAGATATTGAGCCTCAAAGTTGAAACTTAGTCTCAAATTTTAGATAACCTTCAAAGTCCATTATCTCGAAAATGAAGCCCTAAGGCTCGATACCCTAAATAACTTATTTTGAAGCCCTAATCGAGATCTACAATTGGACAAAATTTCATGCCACTAGCTTTGCTGGTTTCCAAAATATGGCCCTTTGAAATATTTGAAAATGAAACTTCCTTGCATACATACCCCTTTTTTTTATAAATTTCTCGATTTTTGACTTTACCAATCAAAAGAGTGGATCGAATTAAGTGGAAAACTATGTTCGTGATTTTGCTTCTTGAGGTTTTAGAGCCTGTAAAAAATTAGGAATGATTTTTATCCTGAAAAATTTTGTATATTTGACATTATTTCACAAAATCGCTCATGACTCAATGATAAATATTTTTCGAGATATTGAGCCTCAAAGTTGAAACTTGTTCAGAAATGTAGTTGTATTGAAGAATAATTGATCTCTTGATCTGAATCAAGAGCCGGGAATAATAATTCTTTTACTAAACCCAAGTCAATACACAAATTGCGCAACTCATTTCATTTTCATAAAACCTCAAACTTACACAATTATAATAATCATTCGAAAGTTTTTAATGCCGCAAAATAGGAGTTTGTGCTTCGTCCGCCTTGTGCGCTAGTAAGTTTCACGAATCCAACTCCCCGTTTACTAATTTCTTATAAAAATTTCCCTTTATTTATAGTGTTTTCAAGTTACACCTCCTCACCTTCACTAACTCCCGACGACGACGTATTCAAACATCTATCTCTCACCTACTCGACCAACCATGCGAAAATGAGCAAAGGAGTTTCTTGTAGGACTTCGCAAAGTCAATTCAGACGGGTAAGAATTTTCAACAAGTTAAAATGAAGTTGTTTGATTTTTTTTTCTAACATCTAAGGGTATTACCAATGGAGCAGAATGGTATCCACTTACAGGTGGTATGCAAGATTATAACTATGTATGGTACGGTTGCATGGAAGTTACCTTGGAAGTTTCTTGTTGCAAATATCCTCCGGCTTATGAGTTGCCGAAATATTGGGAAGATAATAAAGCAGTAAGTTGTTTGTACTGCAATTATTTGTGAAATTATTTTGCTGTTATTTTTAAGGCTTTAATCAAATACCTTGCCGAAGCCCACCGAGGTGTTCAAGGTTTCGTATTTGACGAAGCTGGCAATCCTGTTGAAAAAGCTTCGTTGAAAATCAAAACCAGAGATGTTGGTTTTCAAACAACCAAGTTTGGAGAATTTTGGAGGATCCTGTTGCCTGGAATCTACAAACTTGAGGTAAATAATCTTGAAATCAGATTGCAATATTAACATAATCCATTCTATAAAAGGTTTACGCTGATGGTTTTGTTCCAAGAGAAATCGAGTTCAGAGTTGTTGAAGAGCATCCGACGTTGCTCAATGTGACTCTACAAGCAGCTCAGGTAAATAAAGTAGGTCCAATAATTGTGGCAGAATTTGCATGATGATTTGGGTGGTGGTTGACATACGATCTTATTTCAGCGCTGGCAACAATTTTCTCGGTTGGTGACCGATCCTCCAAAACTTCAATTGCAACTGGACGGTTTGCCGCCAAGCAAAGACGCTGTAAATTTCCCTCAAAATAAACAATAGGTTTAAATTGTACATAAATAGTTTTTTATTTGGTTGGTTGTGGTGACTTAAAAGTAAGTGTATTTATTATTCTCAAAGTCTATATTATTATAATGAATTCAATTTTATTAATTTTGGTTTAATTTCCTAGAGAAAAGACGGAGCTTACTACAAACCAATATCGACACCTTTTCGTAGACCTTCCTACCAGCAACCGCATCAACCCGTAGCCCAAGAAAGTGGTATTTTTTCTTCTATAACCAATGGAATCACAAATGTGTTTAGTTACTTTGGTTGACTTAAGCAATTTTAGCAAATATACAGGGTAAACTGTATAGAAATTCGATTTATTACAGTTGTATTAAACTGTTAGATAGTTTTCTATAGTTGTATTTGAAAAGTTAGATAGTTCCTTCCAATAATAATAATAATAATGAATATTATTTTTTTTTTTAAATGCCTTTATTTTTCCTTAATTGATTTAAGAAACGGTTGTGTGTGTTTTATATGTTTTTGAATTATAGTTGATTTTAAATATTTATACTTACTATATAGCAATAATAGTTCTAAAGTCTTCCTATAGAAACCTCTGTACCTTAATTTATTTTAATTAAGATACCTATTTGAATAAAGTATTTTAGAATGTTATGGTTTTTTTGAGATTATTCAAAAGATTCGCTTCGCTGTATGATTATTCCCGGCTCTTGATTTAGATCAAGAGTCAAGAATTATGAGAGAACTCTAATTATTAAATCCTGAAAGTTTCAAGTTGCTGTGATGGCTCAAAGAGTATTTTTCAGGAGCCTTTAAAAGTGATTTTACAGGAATTTTATGGTTTTCTTAGGTAGGAATTAATGACTAAAAACATCCAGAACTTTGGTAATGAGTTCTATATCAACTCCTAACTTGTTTTGTGTCATGAAAAAAACTCTAATTAATGAATCCTGAAAGTTTCAAGTTGCTGTGATGGCTCAAAGTATTTTTCAGGAATTATTTAAATTCTCGTCTTCGTGCGTAATGAAAAGTTTTTTAAACCTATGCAACCAGTAAAACCTAAAGCCGCCAAATCCCCGCCCCAGGATCCTAGGATCGAATTCAAAAATTTGCCCGCCCATTGCTCCTATAGCAAAACAAACCTTGCAGCTTGTAGTATTTGGTATTGATCGCGTTTATTCGCGCAACCTATACCAGAATAAGCTCCTTTTTGTTCTCTTCGATCCCTATTCGTTTTTGTGTGTATGAACTCCTATAGATTTTAATTTATTTTATTAGGAATTTGTTATAAAAATAAACTACAATAAAAACCATATACTAAGTTTTTTTTTAAAATAAAGATTGCTTTGAAATTATTTATCAATAAAGTTAATGTGAAATCAATTTGTTGCTTTTAAAGTTTAAAGAGCTGAAATCCAAATAATGTCAGGTAAGATTTGATCAATTCTTTACTAAATACGCCTCAAAAATATTAAGTACATAAATGTGTATTGACATTGTACTTATGTACTTACCTAATCAAGGATTTTATTGGCTTAAATAAGTATACTACTGTGTATACCTACTTAATTTAATGACGGCTTGTTTATAATGTGTTAAAATCGGTGAGCAAAACTCAAAAGGTCAACTTTTTAAATCAAAAAAGTGTTTTTACCATCAACTATAATATATTTTCATATCAAAAGTGTTTAAACAATTATATAAATTAAGTAATTATTGCGGTTGTATGTGGTTCATTAACATTAATAATAAAGTCGTTATATAGCGGTTCTGAAGAGTCTGAGAAAAATTGTAGAAATTATTTCCTTTTCTTCTAGCGGAAAGATATTTCGATGCGATAAAAGTTAAAGAGTCCGTGAAGGAATTTCAAATCTATGTACGTGTTGTTAGGTATGTTTCTGTAGAAATCACAGAAAAATCAGAGTAGAGTGAATTTCATTGGTTGATACATCTGAGGTTGATACTAGTTTTCTGACTGTTTTCAATCAATGAAATTCACTCTAACTGGGTTTGTGATTTCTGCAGAAACAGACCTATATTATCTATACCATTGTAACATTTGTCAATTTCAAAGAATTGATTCTTAGAGATTATAAAAGAAAAATTAATACATAGTTACTCACAAAAGCAAATTTGACACAGTTTAAAGATAACTTAATTATTTCTCTTCCAAATGATATACCTAATTTAAGCAACTTTATGAAACTTTCAGTATTTGTTAAGTAGTTTTCCCATGATTGTACACGAATTTGAAGTTGATATGAAATTTTGCAACTAAAGTTATAAGTTTCTTTATATATCAATATTCAGAAAAAATGTTTTTGAGGGTCCATGAAAAATACTTTGAGCCATCACAGCAACTTGAGACTTTCAGGATTTATAAATTGGAGTTTCTTCATGATATATAGAACAAAGTTGGAAGTTGATTTGAAACTCACAACCAAAATTACAGATTTTTTTACTCATTAGATACCTGAAAAAATCATAAAATCACCTTTGAAGGTTCCTGGAAAAACACTTGAAACTTCCAAAATTTATTAATTAGATTTTTTTCATGGTATAAAACAAATTAACGAGTTGATATGACACTCACAATTAAAGTTACGATCTTTTTACCATTGGAAACTTGAAGTTTTGGGACAAAACTTTGACGAAAGTTTAACTTTGATACCCAATATCTGAAGACCTGTTTCAACTAACATATTAAATTTAAGTCAATTTGCGAAAACCTTCTTGACGATATGAGTAATTATTCATGACTTTGTCTAAGGATTTCAAAAGATTTACAAACCAGAAATTGAGACTTTTTTTCTCGATTGAAGAAAAATAATGCTTTTGTAATTCAAAGAATCTTGAAGAAATTTTCTAAAGATTGCTGTGATCGAAGATGAAGTTGAATCAAAAAATGTCTGGGACCAGAGAAATCTTCAGTTAAATCTTCAAATTTGTGCAAGTGAATAAATATAACTTCTTAGTCATGTTGAGAATCAGAAATTGAACTGTTGAATAGCCAAATTGATTCAAAAAATCAGAGAAATCTTTAGTAAAATTTACCTACAAATAGTTTAAATTTAGATTGGCTGCTAATTCATTGAGTAGTTGACATAATTATGTGAAACGAATTGATTATTACTTGATAGAATTGCCCAAAACAAAAATCCTGCAAGTAAAGAGCCGGTATATAATAATCAAAAATTGAAATGGTTATCTTTATATAACGACATTGAAAAGGTGCGTTTACCTAACTAAATCTATTTACTTTTCACATCAAATAAACGACCAAAAAACGAATGTTAGATTGATAAATCAATGCCAATAGATTGTAGAAATTTTAAGTTATGATAATGAGACCTGATATGACATCATTTTAACGGACGTTTTTACTTGAAAAACTTGTCTAGGATGTTTAAATAAATGAGCAAATTATGATAATGATAATATGTTGTCAATAAGATGCAAGGGTGTTGGATAGACCAAAAGGCATCCAATATAAATATAAATAATTGATCTGACTATTATTTGATCACAAAAATGTCATATTTGCTAAAAAGTATATTTCCTCTAAAGTTTTGTAAAATTTCAATCGTACGTTTTTGTTTCAGAATCAGGAAGGGATTATATAGGTTTCGCAACCCTGCCAGACCAAGTGCACAGAAAATCGGTGAAACGAGGCTTCGAATTCACCCTGATGGTAGTCGGAGAATCCGGCCTAGGAAAATCGACGCTGATCAACAGCTTGTTTTTGGAAGACCTCTACAAAAACCGAAAAATCCCAGAAGCTAGCGACAGAATTCACAAAACAACCACCATCGAAAAGAAAACTATGGAGATTGAAGAACGTGGCGTAAGAGTCAGGTACTTAATTCATTCAAATAAAAAAAAGATTTGACTTATTTATTCTCATTGTATAAGGCTGACCATTATCGACACACCTGGCTTTGGAGATGCAGTCAACTGCGAAGACAGCTGGAAGGTGTGCACGAATTACATAGAAGAACAATTTAGGCAATATTTCACTGACGAAAGCGGTTTGAATCGACGCAACATCCAAGACAACCGGGTGCATTGTTGCTTGTATTTTATACCGCCTTGGGGCCACAGGTATAAAAAAATCATCTTCTATTTATTATACAAAGTATTAATAATAATTTTGAACTAGTTTAAGACAAATGGATCTAGAAATGCTAAAAAGATTGCACCGCAAAGTCAACATTGTCCTAGTTATTGCCAAGGCTGATACTCTTACCGCTTCCGAGGTTGAGAAACTCAAAAAGAATATTTTGCATGATATTAAGGAACATGACATACAAGTAATAGATTTATTAATGTTAAATTGCTTGCTCAAATTACTTCGTTTTAGATGTATGAATTTCCTGAATGCGACAGTGACGAAGACGAAGAATTCAAACAACAAGATCGAGAATTAAAAGCCAGCGTTCCATTTGCTGTTGTAGGAAGCAATACAATACTGGAAGTGGCTGGAAGGAAAATAAGAGGCAGGCAATATCCTTGGGGTGTAGTTGATGGTAATAATTACAATACTTATTAAAATATTTCCCAATTTCTCAATTATTTTATTTAGTTGAAAATCCAAAACACAGCGACTTTATCAAACTGAGGACAATGCTCATTTCAACTCACATGCAAGATTTGAAAGATGTTACAGAAGATGTTCACTATGAAAATTTCCGAGCTCAATGTATCTCGCAAATATCGCAGCACGCAAGGGAAAGGGGGTAAGATTCAATTCAATAAAGTTTCAAATTGTTAATGTTTAAAACAAAGTTTTTCATTTTCCAGAAAGCTTAAACGCGATTCTGCACCCTACGAGTCTGACAATATTACCGAAACTGATCGTTTGTTGCTGCAAAAAGATGAAGAAGTAATAATTTTTTGAATTAATTATTTTATTTATTTATTAATTGTGCTTATTTCTAGATTCGTCGTATGCAAGAGATGCTTAATCAGATGCAAGAAAAACTCAAAGGAAACGCTCAAGACAGGAAGCACGAAAGTATTATCGATGTTTAGGCAATATGTATTTGTGTGTGTAACATTTTTTTAAAGCGAATCTGTGTCTAGAACCAAAGAATCTTATACATAAATAATGATAGTTGAACTTTTTTTCATATTTATAAGCTATTTATTATAATTATTGTAATTTATTATGTTATTATTAAAAACATTTATTAGATTATTTCAATGTTTTCCTAAAAACTACTTTAGGTCTCCGATCTTTGAGCCATTTGAAACGCTCAGGATTTCTGAAAATGAAGTTTCTATGGTTGTTAATGAATGATTTCATAGCAATTTTCCAAAATCTGAACGGTGAATATCTGCACCTGTGAAGAGTAACGAAAAGTACAAAAATAAAATGTAGATGTTTAATAAAATACTCATAATATTCAAAAATACATTTAAAAACATTCCTTCTCTAAATAAACTAACAATTTCCTAATATAATAAAAGCTACAAAATAAAAAAATCTTACAGGTTTAATACTACTTGCAGGTAAAAGTCCATGATTCTGGCAGTTTAAAAGTCTTGATAAAGCAATAAAAGCACCACCTAATAATACAATAAGCTTAACTCCTATTATTACAATGTTAAATCGCCATAATAGTTGAGATATTTTTACTCATGGCACAATTTCATTGATACAATTAAACCCTAAGCTTTAGTTGGTGCACTTTTCAAAGGTTGTCCTTCGCCCGTTGCCGTTTCGTCTTCTCCTCCAGCTTCATTCCACGGTTGTTCTTCTCCCGACCCAAATATAGTAAAAACAATCACTTCAACCACATACATGCCTACTGTTATCCAGAAAAGTATCCTCCAAGAACTTATAGATGGCTAAATAATAAAACATCATTAATTGAAATAACTATAAAACAAAACTTACATCTTTTTCTGTTAAAGCACTAACAGCAAACGGTACCGCAATTCCAGGTATAGTAGCAATACAATTGGTTACAGCTACTAAAGTACCGGCAAAGTTGGGTGCAATATCGATGTGATTGGCCAAAAACCCGCAAAACATAGCGCCTATTGCTGTTACAGCACAAGTCATTAGAGCTACGCTGATTTTTTGATCTTCCACATAGCACAAGCAAACAAAACATATCAAAGGTACAACACTGGCAACTCCAGTGGCTATTTTTCTTGCAGTAGTAGTTGTAATCACGCCTTTATTCCTCAAAGTATCCATAATCTTACTGAAGATCATCGAAAAAATCCACATGGTGAGGAATGGTAGAGCAGTTAAAAACGAGTTGTCAGCTAGTTTGAATTTGAGTACCGTTTTCATGTATAAAGGAAGCTCTACCAGTACCATGTACCAACCCCAATTGGAGCAAGTATGGGCGATTAATATGGCCAAAAAGGCTGGAGATAGCATTGAAGCTTTCCAAGGCATTTTCAACTACAAATAATTCTTTATGTATTATAAATGAGTTATTTTTTGGGTTGTAATTACCTCTTTTTTGGGACCACCTTGGTGCAACTGAGTCATAATGTAATCTCGTTCTTCTTGGCTGATGAGTTTTTGTTTGGACGGGGTGTCGGCGGTCAAGAAGATCCAGAATATGAGCCAGATTGCACTGGCGCCGCCCTCAATATAGAAAATCAGCTCCCAATTGAGTTTGGCTCCGATTATTCCGGCCGCGAGCATAAATATCTATTATAATATGTCAATTTTATGTAAATATAGTATGTAAAAATTTAAAAAATGCAAAACACATCAATGTGATATAAATTTTACATCTACTTGAACATGACATTTATGCGTTAAATTTTTTGGGCATATTGAGTCTAGGTACTTACAACAGTCCCCAAGGCAGTACCAGAATACACAATAGAACTCATAACACCTCTTTCACCTGGAGGAGCCCAGTGGGCCAACAGCACATGCATAGCTGGAAAAGTAACTCCACCACCCAAACCTGAAAACAATTTTTCAATCAATAAAATTACCTATAACAAGTACCAAACTTTGCCTTGTATAATTCTCAGGACGAGCAAAGCTCCAAAGTGCAATTTGGCCATGATGGGCGACAAAAGGGCGGCAATTACGTTGCATAATATGGCGGCAAACATGACCCATTTGGCGCTTAAAGTTTCAGCTAATCGTCCGCCGGGTAGCTCAGCTACCATGTAGCCCCAGAAGTAGGAGCTCAGTAGCAGGCCTTGGATCAGTTTCGACCATGCAAATGGACCATCCTAAATCAAAAACTGGATAGAGAGGCAGAGAGGGTAGGTATACTTATCACATTTTTGAGATATAATATATGGGAACCTTTTAAAATACAGTTATAGGTACATTTATTTTCCTATATGAAGTTTCTTCTAAACAATTTTATTAGATATACTAGATCGATTGCGAAATCTTAGAAGATTGCATGTTCACTTAACTTTGCAATAAATTCCAATTTTTTTAAACGTCGTACACAGTGTAAGGAGACTATTTTTGGAGAGGCCAATAAACCAATTGAGGCTTTTTAATGCGGGTTCTCACCTATACAAATATAAAAGTTGTTCACGCGGCACACAAATGATTTTTTCTTTTTTGAAATTGAATTTGTTTACTGTGGCCTATATTGACCAGATGATATAATCCTTTATCAAATTAAAAGTAAATGATACAGGATTTCTGCTCATTTCATATCATTATAGGTACTGTAGGTTTTTTTTTGACTAAAATTCAACTTTGAGGCTCAAATTGCTCAAAAACTATTTGAGCTTCTAAGCTCAATTTTGCACAGTTTCATAGAGAATTTAATGCTCTAATTTATTTCAATTTGCTCAAATTTTAAGGAAGATATGAGTAATTATTCCAAAGCTTGTCAAGACTTGAAAAAAAATCCAGAGCCAAAATTGCTATTTTCTTTTCGATTTTTTTACAATTTAAACTTGTCATCTGGCAACAATGTTAGAATTTTTTTCCACTAATTTTGACCCGTTCTATCGATTGAAAACGTCAAAATTCAAAAAAAAATTAAAAACAAAAATTTTTGAATTTTTGGCATTTTTTCAGAGGGATTTTGATTTCAAAATTTTTAAACCTGATTTTCTCGGAATCCGTAAGAGATTTGGGTTCGGAATTTTTTCAAGAATTGTAGCCCTCAATAAGGGCTTTTAAATGGTGTATACCTAATTGAAATCACTACGATTGCCGGTTTTCAAAAAAATCTAAAATTCAACTTTGAGGTTCAATTGCTCGAAAACTATTTGAGATATCAAGCTCAATCTAGCACCATTTTATAGAGAATTTAATGCTCTTACCAATGATATACAATTTATTTCAATTTGCTCGAATTTTAAGGAAGATATGAGCAATTATTCCTAAGCTTGTCAAGATCTAAAAAAAATTGCGATTTTTTTTCAAACTCGATTTTCTCGGAACCCGTAGGAAATTTTGGATTGAAATTTTTAGAGATTGTAGCTCTTGATAAAGGCTTTCAGATGGTACTTGAAAAATATAACTACTGATGAATTTATACCATTTAACTGCAAATTTTAAGTAAATTTTCAAATCTTTAAAGGTTCAGAGTATTAAGATAAAAATTGGATTTTTAGGTTTGTAGAGTCTTCTACCTACAGTTCCTGTTGTTCAACAAGTCTGCAAAAAACATCATTTGATTTCATGTACATTTTTATATCAATCTATTTGTTATTCGTTAAATGAAATTCGGACTACTAAGAGATCTTAGTTGCCTCTAGAGAAAACGAAATTGTAAATTGTGTGTTGGTTAAAATCAAAATTCGTTGAATGAGGGGAACATAAAAGTCCCAAAGGAAACTTTTTAAGAGTCAGCAATAGTCCAAGTTCTAATCACTGGCCTCTAAAAATGTTGTAAAGCCATCCAAGAGCCGGTAATAATAGACTATGACAGTCTCTTGATTTGGGTGATTCTAGATTATATTTTGAATTAGGTATACCTCGCTATGCTCATCGTCTCCATGTTCGCTACCACCGACAGCCGTATGGTTGACCATACTCACTATAGCCACATGAAAATTTGTTTTCAGGCCATAGATAATGCCCAGCCCTACTGAACCTAGAAGGCATAAGATGTATCTGGAAGGGAATTTGCCTGAAAAAAAAAATAATGAGCTTCTTTAATGTTTGGACATAAACTTTGCTACTTAAAAACTACAGATAAATACCCATTATTTAGTCGGGAAATTGACACAAAAGAATTGTTATTTTTACATAATTATTATTGACAAAAGATTGACAATAAATAAAGTATGTTCAATTCAACTAATTCAACCAATAATATTGAAGAAAAAGTACCTATCTGAGTTTAATAAGAAGTGGTAATCCCATAGTAAAGTGGAAAAAAGAGCATTTTCCCGCTGATAAAAATTTGTGAAACATTGCGCCACAATAATAGAAGTAAAACTTACCGCCAAATGCTCCACCGTTTGGTTCAACAGTTTTCATATTTCTTTTTGTTCCTATAAAATGAAACATAGTATAATCTACTTTTGATTTAAACTACACATATAAATGTATATTATATATTTTGAACATTCGTTTATTGTATAGAGTGAATGAACGCTTGCTTGTAGCTCTTCAATACCTATCAATTTCCAAATTATTACTATTAACATTATCATTGTTAAGTTTAACAGGCCATTGAGCATATACTTATAACATATTTTGAAAATGCATTTACAAAACTTTAAAAGTTGACAAAAATCTTCTTTTTGGCGGGAACTTGTATTTTGTTAATCAGTTTTAAAACACACTTACCTATTTCAATTTACACAACACTAAAAATAATTCATTCAAAAACCATCAAATTTCTTCTTGTTGATTATTTAACTTTTATACCGTTCGCCGGCTCTCGATTGAATGCGTTTTTCAAGTTCCAAAGGTGACCTCTAGCCGTCATCGACCTCGCCTTCCAAAGAGTAGGCGCCTGACTGATCGATGAAAATTGAAAATCTCGGGTCTTTTACCCACTTCACAGGAATTACGATGAAAAACAGGCCAACTGTACATTTTAGTCCTATTGGTTTTAAGTATTTGCGTTACTAATTTTCAGTCTTTATAATTAATTTTAAATTATTTATAAGGATAAAGGAAGATTTTATTGAAGAATGATACTTGAACATTGGAGGGAATTTTTGTAAGAGAACTGAATACACCTCACCTAATTTAGTATTTTTTCTTGATTGATTTGCTTCTAGTCTGTTTGTATATAAAAACTAAAAATATTTTTGATAGTACAAGATCAATTATAATAATAAAGATATTACTGTTTCAAAACAAAACCAAAAAGCACTAATAATTAATACACGAATCAAAATATAAGCTTATTTTTAATTAAATATTAATAACTCTGGATAGTTTCTGGACGCGTTGCAGTAAAAAGTCGCCTTGTTTCACCACAGCATTGAATTGGGCGTTTTTCAAATCTGGCCTGTTGGTTTCCACTATTCCGCCCACCCTGTCGATTTTGCAGTGCACTCGGCCTGTGGCAATGAAAAATGAAAGCTCCCTGTATAAAACAAAATAATTATTAATCAATTTAATTTGTAAGTGAATCTGTTTACTCGTCAATAAATTGCATGGTAACGCCGAAAGCTTCAGCCATGTACTGCAAAGTGAGACTCCTGTAAGACTCCAACAGTTGAGTGTAAGCTGATATTTTCATTTCCCGGATGTAGTATCTGTAGTGGGGGTTGAGGAAGTAGTCCTTTCTCAATATCTCTTCTACTTTGGCTAAGTTTTTGAAAAAATCGGCGTACTGGCAATTGTACAAGGAAAACAGGTAGTCTTTGACGAAAGGCTCAGAGTGTAATACTTCAAGGATTTCTGAACCTTTTACAACCTGAAATGTTTACAATTATTAGTAATTATATTATAAAATTCTTTATTCAATAAAGAAGGTCTACATTTAGTGTGTTTGAAATAGCAGATGATGAGAAATTGCATATTTATTTCATTACATGGGTTCAGAGGTATTATATGCCACTTTGTGATACAATTCCACCTGCTGGAAATCTGATGATATGGCATTTCAAGCTATTGGTAACATGTTACTACAGCATTACAATCTAGAATTATTAGCTGACAAATCAAGAGCCAATAAAAATCAAATTTTGAACTATTACTGGCTTTTGAGGGCTAAATAATGAAGTTAGTACTAAAAGGATGATATTTCAAATTTTTTTATGTTGAGATTTTGTGTCTAAGTGATCATTCGTGTCCCCTCAAACTTCATACATTAAAATATTTTAAGATGTGAAGCAAATCTATGAAAAAAGGCACTCAGAAAAATTGAAAAATTGATAAACCACTCCAAATTGGTTAACACAATTTTATCTCAGGAACTATAAGTCCAAATGAGTTGAAATTTTCAGGGATTCTAGTCCTCTACTGGAATAAGAATCGCTGAAAATTTCACCTTTATATCTTTAATAGAAAAAAAGTTATGAACTTCCAAAATTTTCCAAAATCCAAATTATAAGGTAGGTACCTTCTCACTAAATGGATGAAATTTCAATATTTTTTTTATTGAGATTTTGTGTCCCAATGGTCATTTGAGATCCCCCAAACTCCATACACTAACTTATTCTCAGATTTGAAGCCGAAATCTATGAAAAAAGGCACTCAGAAAAATTGATAAAACATCCCAAATTGCTTAACACGATTTTATCTCAGGAACTATAAGTCCAAATGAGCTGAAATTTTCAGGGATTGTCGTCCTCTATTAGAATAAGAATCGCTGAAAATCTCAGCTTTCTATCTCTTATATTCCCGATTTGCTTAATCCCTGGAAGTTGGGAACCACTTTGAAACGTTAAAAGCATTAATTTTCAGTCTTCAGTTTCAAAAAGCAGAAATTTTTGAGAAAAACTGCTATTCAAGAAGAGCTTCTGAGGATTGCAGTCAGAATTTATAGCTTCAACAAAGATTTTGAAAGAATGCCATTTTGTATAGCTTGATCCTTGATTCTATCCAGTATGAAATAATTTGATGGATTTTTGCTAGCCCTGATTGAAAAAACTCCTAATTCCAATTACAGGTTCAAGTCTTTTATATTTAACATTTGGCAAAGAAGAGAGATTAGATTAGGGTTGCCAGACCTCCTATTTTTAATATGAGACTCATATATTTTAACTGTTTCTCATATTAGCATGTTTAATATGAGACCATTTCTCATATATTTTCCTCAAAAAAAAAAGAAATCATGTACATTTATCACTACCACACGTGATAGGCCGCAGTGTCATGCGTCCGTCATAAGACCTTCCGATGGAACGACGAGGCTCCTATTGACTGGAAAATTTCCCGCTGCTTTTTATCCGAATATTTCCAACTTTTTTCCGACGGCGGACAAAGTTAAAATAATTTTAACTACTTTTGTTTTCGGATCGACCCTTACAAAACGATTTTGGCCCAGGGATTTGTTTAAATATCAAAAAACTCAAGGTTGTCCACGACTTGTTACAAGAAATGACACTGACGGATCAGGAGGAGTATCTAAGTACCTAATGGCGTTTTCCATTTGTTGCACAGAGGTGCACTCAGTGCAATTTTTATATTCCATTTGACAGCACATTTTCAGTTTCCATTTTCCATTTGAAATTCAGTGCAATTATTTATGCACTCAGTGCGCATTTTTTGGCACGAGCTAGGAAGGCTGGTGGAGAGCCAGTAGCCAGTGCAGTTTGTTTTGTTTTTGTTTACATGTACCGTACATAAAAAATGTCTGCTAATTTCCAAAGAAAAAATTGTTGCACTTTTGGATTTGATATGTAGCAGCAGCGAAGTTGAATTCTATGACGAAATTATATTATTTGAACGAATTCCGCAGCTTATCCACGTTGTTTTTAGATATATATTATTGTTTTTTAAAAATATTGTCTGATGCGAAGTACTTATTTAAATTATTTATAGATAGTCTATTTCTTCTAAATTTAACGGCGGGTGAAACCGCGGAGAAGAACTAGCAGAAGCTGTTATTTTAAATAAATGATCTGGACCATCGAACTAAATATTTATTTTGTATGACTTCTTCTTCATTAACTCTAAAATTCATTTCAAATACATCAATTTTTTAAATATTTCTTGTAATTAACCCTAGAACCATAGAACGACAGTCCATACTAAACTTATTAATATTACAATTAGGCTGTTCATTTGTACTGCTTTTCTTGTTTCAAGCAGATCTCATCAGCTGATCGGCGTTCACTTGTCCCCTAACTCCCATATAAGCTCATAAATAGCAGCTCCTAGCAGATCTTCCTGATTTTGCGAGTAGGTAGCAAGTACAAATGAACAGCCTATACTATAAAACATGCAGAGCAGGAAACCAGAAACCGGCAAGTGCTAAACAAAAACAGCAAACCAAAATATGATTTCACATAACCCCAGAATCCGAGCCGAGTCTGCATTTTTGCTTTCCATTTATACTGCACTGGTGCGCGTTTTTGACAGCACTAGAAAAATTCTCGTGCGCACTGAATGCTGCACTGAGACGACAAATGGAAAACGCCATAAAAGAATGTCCAGCACTACATTCCAAAATCTGCTAAAAATCATATAATTGTCAAGATGGGAGCTTTTATGCCTCATTCTCACTTGCGCGAAATTCGCTGTTTTTTTGACATTGCTTCGAAAGTTTGATGTTTTATGCGTCTATCAAACGTCAAATTGTTGAAGCAATGTCAAAAATGAGCGAATCTCAAGTGAAAATTAAGCTTTATGGATTTGGTCATTTTGCAGTACAGTGGCGGCCATTGGAATTGGTACAAATCTCGGTACAAATTTTTGAATACACCTTGATACAAAAAGCGTTCAAAAATTTGATGTGCCAACTCCAATGACCGCCACTGTACATAAAATATTCTCATATAATATTATCCAATCTCATATGATCTTATACAGGGTCTCCTATTTTCAAAACTCAAGTATCTGGCAACCCTAGATTAGATTAGTAGGTAAATTAGATTTGTTAAAACTGAGGGGTGAATAGCTGACTTGAAATGTGTACACCAACTGTCAAATTCCACAATTTTTAAGGAAACTTACTAAGATTGTGTTGTGTGCGATTGTGACTGATTGTGTAATGATTGCGACTGATTAAGATTGAAAATAAAGCACAGATGGCAGTAGACTGTGTAAATAAATGCTAGAATTCAGCCAGAAGTCTAATAGTTTGGAAACAATTATCACATTACTGTAGAACTTATCATTCATTTCTGTTTATAAGAAGGGAAAACCCTGTTGTATTTTGTTTTTATTTAAAGTAGCCTTAGAAGAACCATTATATTGTCAGTTAATATGATAAAATATACAATTATTCTGTGTGCCACTAGGGATTTTGTATTCTAAGGCCCGGCTTACTCATCTTCTGATAAACTGTCAAGGCAATCTAACAGATAAAAATGAAATACATAATTGTATTGGTAAACCCATAACCGAAATATAGATTGTTAAATTTATCTTGTAGGTAGACAATTACTGAAGATGAATAAACCAGGCGTAAAATTGATAGTTACCTTATCCCTCAATTGATTCCTTGGCAAACTTATAATAGAAGTATAAACCGTATAACGTACAAAAGCCTTATAATCCATCAACTCATACGAAGTAAAAGTGCTAACAGTGTCCAAAAACAAGTTAGCAGCAGTTTTAAAGTCTCTTACAGCCATACAGTAAGCCCCTTGATAAACTTTGAGGCGATTGCGTCTGTCCCAATCGCCTCCTTCCTCAATCAGGGTTTTAGCTTTTTCAATATTCCTCGTGATAAGATCATGGTCCATGAAAAACAACCCGATTCTTATCAAGTGGAAAATGATGTCTAGCCTGTGCCCCAAAGATACAGTTTTGTCATAGGTTTGCCTGAAGGTGCTGATGGCATTTTCTTTGTCACCTATTCTACTGTAGTATTCGGCTTTTCTCAAGTAGGCCTCTCTCACTTCCATTTCGCCCAAATTCTTTTCCGCATCTTCAATAGCTTCGTCCAGCTTCTTTATTTGTTCCTCGTTTTTCGTTTTGAAGGTTTTCAGGAGTTTTTCGTCTTTTTTCCAGCCGGCGTCTTGGCAAACGAGTTCATACCAAGGAGCCATATCTGAACACAAAGTAAAGTAAAATTGTTTCAATAAATAAGGGCAAAACTTACCATCTTTCTTGATAGCTTCAGTGATTTTCGCATGTACCCCCTTATCATTTCGAAATTCGGGCAAAGTGAGCAGGAACTTGTAATTGGCCAATTCCAAGTCGGGGTTCTTTTCCAGGCCTTGATCTTCCAGGTTTTCGACAGGCATTTTTTAATTAGTAATTTATATGTTCTTTTGTAGTACAATAATAATTATTGAATGAATGGGCCGGGGTCGGCGATGACAAACAAAATTTATAAATGGACGTCATGACAGTACATATTGCCAACCTAGAAAAAAAATTATAAATAATTAAAAAATTCCATTTAAAACTAATAATAATTTATTGTAAATAATTGCACTATAAACAAATTTTTATTATTAACAATTCTTGCCCTATCAACATTGAATTAAATGTGTAAAATTATCAATAAGGGCTTCATTTGCATTATAGTTGGCAACACTGTAATTAATTTTTGACAATGTTAAAATGCAAAAGTCATAACAAAAATACAAAACAGCTGTCTATGAAATGTTTAATAATTTGTGGTCAAAGTTTTTGATAAGAAAAACCCAATTATTATTAACAAACAATTATCGTAACAATGCCGCGTAATGTTTTAATCACCCTTTGTCTATAATGTGCGTTGATTTTTAACTCATAACAATCAAAGGAGGAAGAGAAATCTCTATTTTCTGTGTGAGTCATCCTCTGGATTGGATAAGAACAATAGATTTTTGAGTTTTAAAATTATTATTTAAAGAGGCGTATTATTTATTTAATTGTATTAATAAATCATGTATGATCCTGAAAGAGATGAGACTATTAATGAATGTGACAGTGATTATGATAGTTCCTATGATGAAGATGAAGATGAAACTACAAGAATTATACCACCAATGGGTAAGTAATGATTACAACTTACAACGAGGGGTAAGTACCTAACTCCTCAGTTAGGCGACAAATGCTAAAATATATTTTATTCAATTACACACAAAGAACATCCCAGTGCTTCAAAATCATTAGGAAATAAATTGGAAAGCATTTTAGCATGATTCAGAATGCTTAAGAACCAAGTTAGAACATTTTTAAGCATTTTAGGATGCTCTAGAGCAATTTAGAACTTTGATAACTGAAGCTTATCAAAGTTCTAAATTCAGAGGACTTTCAATTCAATTCTCAATCCTCCTGTATTTGTTCCAAGGCAAATTTGAATCTTTAGGAACATTGCAAAACGTTACAGGACACTTTAGAACCAATTTAGAATTTGAAAGATATCCTAGAATAGACCAGAACAGTTCTGAAGTTTCAGCATTATTTTAGAAAGCTTTTGGACACCCCAAACTCCAAACATTAAATTATTCTGAAATTTGAAGCCAAAATCTATGAAAATGAGCTGAATTTTTCAGGGCTTGTAGTCCTCCACTGGGAAAGGAATCACTGAAAATATCTGCCCTCTATCTGATTGTATCTATACTTTATGGAAAAAAAGTTATACCTAAGTCTTCAAAGTTTTGTGAAAATCCAAATCATAATCACCCCAATTCAACACGATTTTATCTCAGGAACTATAAATGCAAACGAGTTGAAATTTTCAGGAATTGTAGTCCCTTTATTGAGATGAGATTCAGTAAAAATTTCAGCTCTCTATAATAAAAAAAAAGTTATGCCTTTCCAAAGTTTTCCAAAATCTAAATCATAAGGTAAGGTAAAGTACCCAGTTGTTGACACATTAGCATATTATTCCCGAAAATAAGCATTTATAGAGGTTATAAGCTAACTGAAATAGCTTATAGTATTGTTGGAGCCATCTTGCGTGCTATAGCTAATATATGGATTTGAAATCACAAGTTTTTTCAAAATCGTGGCAAGAAGTAGTGAACAGGTGCAATTGTTTGAACTTTTTTCAAGATTTCTAGTGAAAATAGTTAAAAAGATATAAAAACAAAAGTTCTCAAAGTTAAGGTAGGGTTGATAATTTATGAATAATATTATATATTTACTGTATAACAAGATACATTGTAATACATATTTATTATTGTTTTATCTCTTAAACAACTGGCATAAACTTTTTAAGGGGGGGTGTCAACTATTGGAGCCCAAATCCAGGAGTAATCCAAATGTTGACACTAGTGTTCGGCAGTAAAAATATTTTAACATTGTAGTCTGTCTCTTTTTATTGTTCTGGATTAACAAGAAACCTAGATATGGGTTTGGGGAATGTAACGGTCGTTGATCCAATAGATGACACCCCTGTTACCCCTGTCAATGTTTGGAGCTTTGGAGTGTCAACAATTGGTCCATTCAGGTTTAGATCAAGAGATGGTTTATGAAAAATGGAAATTGCTGAAATATGCACCAGAACTACCAGAAGACATGATTGCGATAGGGGGCTTACTGTAGCTACATCAGCAAAAAAATACAATTATACCAAAGCTTTCCAAGCAATTTCTTTTATTACCAATTTGGAATTGAAGTTTTTATTTTTTTCCCAACAAAAAGTTTCCCAATGTTATTTTTTATTAATAAAAAGTTTGATTCTCACATTATTGATGTTTCTACCAGAGTTTCTACTGATACAGGCAACATGTCAACTATTGGTTTCAAGAGTGTCAAGTAATGGAACCACAACATATATTTAAAAAAAATTAAAATAATTGATTATTATGTGCATATATGTATCTCATTTACAAAATTGTACACTTGGAAAAATATACTTCTTAGTTCCACAGACCGTGATAACATTTCTTAAAAGTAAAAATTTGGTTTTGTAAAAAAATATATGCGAGGGGCTTTTCACCCAAGGAAATCGGTGTACAAATTCCGCGAAATACTTGGTAATACCTTGGGGAATACTTTGAAATACTTGGTAATACGTGCCAAATGATGTGAGAAAACAGTATGTTTATAAGCTTCCTGAGTGCTGCTTTTTCTCATATAAATAACTTTTTTTGAATTTTTACGGTCCAAGTTAGTTTTATTTCGAGTTTCATTTGATTGTGAGAACCTTATATTAGTATATTATTAGTGAGAACTTATTGAAAGGTACTTAAGTGTGTACAGGGTGTCCAAATTCGAGCAGTATCATCGGGATATTGGAAACGGTAAAAGATACAGGGTTGGTTTAATTATGGCAAAATTTAAAAATTCCGAATGGTTCCGGAAATATTGGGAATAATCCGAAATTTTACAGAGTTTTTATTAGCTTCCTAGATAGGAACTTTTTTTTTTTAAATATGACCCTGAATTTTTTATTCCAGATTTTAAGAGTTTCTGATGTCCCAAAACCTATGACATGCCGCAACTATTCAGAATTTTTAAATTTTCAAAATGGTATTTTGTGAAACATAAAACTGCGAAACTGCCATTCAACCGACCCTGTATCTCTTCTTACCGTTTCCAATATTATAATGATACTGCTTGAATTTTGGACACCCTGTATATATTTTAAGTGCCATTTTTATCTTATTTATGTTTGGCAAAAAAAAATCCTTGTTGTGTAGAAAATTGTTTCCCAGTGTATTAAAAATAGTTTAAAAGGACCCCACACACTTTGGGATTTCTGACCGCGGTCAAATTCAACCCAATTTTAGTATGTTATAGATCTCACCTTTCTGATCAATGACTACCATGGGCACAATTTAATCCTATGGCTAGTTTTTGAGATACAGGTAGTTTAATGTTCAAGAAAAGTACATCTACAGTCGTGAGCATAAAAAGTGGGACACCCGTTTTTTCCTATTGTAAAACGAGCTCATCAGCTATACAAACGGCAATGACAGGGATTGTCATTTTTGACAAAAAATCCATTGTAGAGAAAATACTGATTTACCCAAAATAGCGAAAAATGACAAGACCTGTCAGTCGGGTGTCCCACTTTTTATGCTCACGACTGCACCTGTACCTGTCAGCTGATAATATACTAGGATGGACAGGTATCCTGACGCTCAGGGGATAGGTAGATGTAAATGCATATAAAATGTGTACATTTCTTAGACATAAACGCCCAAATGCACCATGAGGACTTAATCCAGATTAGTTGCTATAACCAGATTAGGATGTCTTTTTCATATGCAAATTTTGGAGCTAAGCGAGATTAAACTCCCAAGTCCATACGGTGCATACGGGTGTAAATACCTGTATCTCAAAAACTAGATCTAGGATTAAATAGTGCCCATGGTAATAATTAATCAGAAAGGCGAGATTTATAATATACTAAAATTTGGTTAAATTTGACTGCGGTCAGAAATCCCATAAGAAGTGTGCCTTTAAACATTTTTTGTCGTTGACACTGTTGAAAAAATACCATGTGATCTTCCATTTGAAGTTATTAAACTGGTCCGAGAACAGGTTTCTCTTGTAAAAACTAGACTTATTACTAATATATTACCTATGTAGTAAAAAAAAAAATTGTTTTGTTGTTTGTAAAAAGTGTCCCTAAAATTTGATACCCTATTAGTGTTTACCTATTGACTTCATGCAAAATTTTTCTTTTTGTACACAAATACCAAAAATGTTCTTTGCTACTCACCAGCTCTAGAAAAGGTTTTTTTTTCTAAAAGTATGCGTAAAACGTCACTTTCCCGCACGCGTTTTAATTCAGAAACTATCTTTTTCCCGCACGCCGTACGAAAATCTTTTTTTTCCGCCCGGCGTGCAATAGAAAAATACTTGGAAATACCTGGAAATACTTATAAATACTCGGAAGTACTTGGAAATACTAGGGAATACTTGGAAATACTTAGAAATACTCGAAAATACATGGAAATACCCGTGACTATTAGGAAAAATGCAAATCGGTGTACAAATTTTGGTAGGTGAAAAGCCCCTCGAATATATGTCAACCTTTGGACCAGAGATCTTTGGACCAAAAATGTGTCAACTTTTGGCGAAGTGAATTTTTTGGGTGTCTTGGGGTTTTATCACCTTTCAGGTATTTTTGGCATAATAACACAAATAGTAGGAATATAGGGTAAATAATATATCTAAACATTTAATTATGAGTTTGAAATCACGCCAAAAAATATATCAAAGCCTTGGGTTTGAAAATTTGGAAAATGTGTGGTGATCATAAGCAAGGGTACCCTTAACATGTCAACAACTGGGTACTTTACCTTAGCTAGCTTCTTACTAAAACGATGAAATTTCAAATTTTATTTTGTTGAGATTTTGTATCCTCCTAAGGGTCAACTAACATCCCCTAAATTCCATACACTAAATTATTCTGAGATTTGAAGCCGAAATCTATGAAAAAAGGCACTCAGAAAAAATGAAAAATTGATAAATCACTCCAATTTGCTTAACACAATTTTATCTCAAGAACTATAAGTGCAAATGAGCTGAAATTTGCAGGGATTGTAGTCCCTTTATTGAGATAAGGATAAGATTCAGTGAAAATTTCTACTTTCTATCTAAAATAAAGAAAAAGTTATGCTCTTCCAAAGTTTTCCAAAATCTAAATTATAAGGTAGCAATTTGCTTAATACGATTTTATCTCAGGAACTATGAGTTAAAATTTTCAGGAATTATAGTCCTCTACTGGGATAAGAATCGCTGAAAGCTTTCCATTTTTCATAGAAAAATGTTATGACCTTCCAAAGTTTCCCAGCTACCTTCTTACTAAAACGATGAAATTTCAATTTTTTTTTTTGTTGAGATCAATTAACATCTCCCAAACTCCATACACTAAATTATTCTCAGATTTGAAGCCGAAATCTATCAAAAAAGGAACTCAGAAAAATTGAAAAAGTGATAAATCACCCCAATTTGCTTAACACGATTTTATCTCAGGAAGTATGAGTCCAAATGAGCTGAAATTTTCAGGGATTGTAGTCCCTTTATTGAGATGAAAATTCAGTGAAAATTTCAGCTTTCTATCTATAATGCCCTTCCAAAATCTAAATCATAAGGTCTCATAACCTTCTTACTAAAACGATGAAATTTCAATTTTTTTTTTGTTGAGTTTTTGTATCCTAATGGTCAATTAACATACTCCAAACTCCATACACTAGATTATTCTCAGATTTGAAGCCGAAATCTATGAAAAAAGGCACTCAGAAAAATTGAAAAATAGATAATTACCTCAAATGGCTTAACACGATTTTATCTCAGGAACTAATGAGTCCAAATGAGCCGAAATTTTCAGGGATTGTAGTCCTCTACTGAGATAAGAATCGCTGAAAATTTTAGCTTTCTATCTATAATAGAATTTGAGATATGATTTTGATTGATAAAATCAGCTGGGAATGAAATAATTGCTTGAAGGACATCAGGTAATCAATTAGCAAGCAATCACATTAGAATCACCAAAAAAAAGTGGAAATCACCTGGTAATCATACAAAAATACTTGATAATCATTGACAATCAGTCGCAATTTTTAGGAATACATACAGTGATTGTCAAATATGGAAATCATTGTACATTTGAGAAAATAAGCAAAGTGGTTGACCCTTAAGTTTTAATCAGCTTTTTAAATTTGGGTATACATATTTCACCAATTGATTAGTGGCAATAAAAAGATAGGAAATACTGTAATTATTAAATTGATACAACTGTTAATATCCTAGCAAATACGTATATGTTATTTTTTTGGCTTATAATTGATATTATTGGATTAACTTCCATACTGATAATAATCTTTATGGCACACATAAATGTACCTGACAGAAAAATAATAAAATGTTGCCTATTTCAATTAGGAAACAAAGACTCATATGCAATAATTGGATAATGAATATTGATTGTCACAGTCCAGAAATTCACACTGAATGAATCATAGAAAAATCACAAAAAGGGTTTCCATTTATAAGGACAAAATTAATATGAAAAAATTATTAGAAAGCATTATTTGAAATATTACTTTTTGTGCTACCTTCAAAAATAATTTTCGTCATTTTTATCAGTAAAATATTGTTAATGCACTAGATAAGCAAGCTATAATACAGCAAACAGTTTGTTTTCAGTACTGGCTGGCAAAACATGGTGATTTCAAATAGAAACAATAACCCATCTGGGTTCAAAAAACTAGCAACCATTAGCAAATACGTTTTCGAACACAATAACTATAAGAATTTTGATACAAGTGTGTATAATTTCATATACGTAAATGAATAATTAATTATTTTTTTTACAGTTGAAGATACCAAGGATGTCCTCAAATCCAGACACATCCTTGGGATTCTTGGATTCCTGGGTTTCGCCAATGTATACGCAATGAGAGTGAACCTCTCTGTAGCTATTGTTGCTATGGTCAATCAAACAGCTCCAGTAATACAAAATAATACATTTGATCATTGTCCTATGCCAAATGTTACCAATAACAGCACTACACCATCTGTAAGTTGGTATTTATTTCTAATATTTTTACAAAATGATTGTTTGTAGAATGGTGAATTCAATTGGGACGAAAAGACACAAGGGATAGTATTGGGTGCTTTTTTTTACGGGTACGTTTTGACTCAAATACCTGGTGGACGTCTAGCCGAAGTAATGGGAGGCAAAAAGATTTACGGCATTGGGGTGCTGGTGACTGCTTTATTTACAATATTAAGCCCCATTGCTGCCAGGATTAATTTCCCTTTATTTATTGCTGTAAGGATATTGGAAGGAATGGGAGAGGTAATTGTTAATAAATGGTTTGTAGATTTATTTGTTGATTATTTTTATAGGGTGTAACATTTCCTGCTATGCATGCAATGTTGGCCAAATGGATTCCGCCTTTGGAAAGAAGCAAATTTGGTGCTTATGTGTACGCTGGTGCTAATTTTGGTACCATAATATCTTTACCTTTATCTGGATGGTTGTGTTCGTTGAAACTATGGGGCGGATGGCCTTTGGCCTTTTATTTATTCGGAGTTTTGGGTATAATTTGGTTCGTTTTTTGGATGTTTTTGGTTTACGATTCGCCCACTACTCATCCGAGAATCGATAGGCAGGAACAAGCTTTTATTTTGGCCAGTATCGGACCTCAGGTAATAATTATTGGTCATTGGATGTTGGTTTTCACAATTGAATGATGCATTTTTCAGGAAGAAGACAAAGGTTCAGTACCATGGATGAAAATGCTGACTTGTCTTCCTTTGTGGGCTATTTTGGTTACTCAGTGCGGCAATTCTTGGGCTTTTTATACGCAACTGACGGAGTTGCCTACTTATATGGCTCAGATATTGCATTTTGATATTGAAGCGGTAATGTATAGTTTATTTTCACATGCAATAGCGCTTCTGGATTTTTATTAAATCCATCCCAATTAATGTCAATTTGAAAACAAAGGAGCTGAATTGTAGCTTGATATTGGATAAAATAAGAGGCTAAAAGTCTCAGAATTAAACTAAGGTATTGATTGGTACATGAAACTATCAAGAAATCTCTAGAAAAATAAATAAGGTGATTTGAGAAATTAAATATCAAATAATAAACCCACAGAGAATGGATTCCAAACTGCTCACAAATTCCCTGCAAATGTCTGTTACAAATTCCCTAAAAATCCCCAAAATTGTTTGTGATAAGAAATGCATTTTTCTCTATTCTTATTACGCTCAGTTAAAACCAATAGATTCCCTCAATTTTTCATACATTTCTCCAATTTCCCATAAATGCCTTCAAATTCCCCACAAATTCCTATAAATTCTTAACAAAGAATTCCTAGGTGGTTTGCTCCTTGAAGGTGAAGATCAGAAGGAATTTTTTTGAGGTTTTTTTACTTTGATTTTTACCAATGAATAAAGTCTATGGAATAAACTACCCCTCTGAATTTTTGCTAACAATTTCTCAAACTGCCTGCAAATTCCTCCAAAATCCCTAAAAATTCCTCAAAACTGCTCGCAAATTTTCTGCAAATGCCTGTTACAAATTCCTTGAAAATCCCCAAAATTGTTTGTGATAAGAAATGTATTTTTTTATTTTTATTTCGCTCAGTATCAAACCCAATAAATTCCCCTACATTCCTCCAATTTCCCATAAATTCCTTCAAATTCCCACAAATTCTTCTCGATTTCCCACAGTTTTCGCAAAGAATTTCTAGGTAGTTTGCCCATTGCATATTTCTGGAATAAGGTGCTTTCTGAAGACTTCTTATAAGTTTCCTTCTTTTGTGGAATCCGCAGCATGATCTTTGATGAATCTGACTAAATATTTACTTGCCAAGGCTCGTTCTGTAGGTCCAGTCAAATGCGAGTCATTTGACCATCTCAAAATAAGTTAAAACAGGGCAACAACATCTTGGAAATCTTGTTCCTTGGACAGCTGTTTTCAATAGGAATAAGGTCTTTTCTATAATGAAGATAGGTGTTTTTGAAATATACTGAGGAAAACTTGGAAAATTCAAACGGGTTAATGTAAGTTTAGTGGCTGCGAGTTTCCTTGGACTCTGCCCAGAACTTTTACTAAATTGCGTTCAATTTGTAAAGATTTCTGTTTAAGTAGCTCCTGATATTTTTTCTGAATGATTAATGAGCCTTTGAGCGAATCTCCTCTTCTGAGTTCCAGTTCTAGTTCCAAGATAAGAAATTGAATACCTAATTTCTCTCAAATAATTTTCAAAAAGTTGTCTCAAAAAGATCAGTTTTTTGATAAGTATGTTTAGTATTTTGAAATCCAAGTTATACAAAGTTAAAAGCTATAATAGTGACTCTTCAGAAGTAACCTAAAGTTTAGAATGTTGAATCCCAAACCTCAAATAAATGATATTTTTTTCCCCTTCAGAACGCAGTATTATCAGCAATCCCATACCTAACCAGCTGGTGGGCCGGCATACTAATAAGCATCTTCGCCGACTGGCTACTACTAAAAGGCTACATATCCCTCTCAATGTCCTACAAACTGTGGAACTCCATTGGTGCTATCATCCCATCTTTGGGCCTATTGGGAGTAGCTTATGTTGGTTGCGACAGGACCGCTGTCCAATTACTTTTAGCTATACCAGGTGCTTTTGGGGGTGCCGTTTACGCCGGAAACCAAATGAATCATATAACGTTGAGTCCCAAATATGCTGGTACCATGTACGGTATTACCAATGCGGCCTCGAATATGTGCGGCTTTATGGCTCCTTATGTTATTGGATTGATTATCAATGGAAGGGTAATATTAATAATAAGTATTTGATTTCAATAATACATCATCAATTATTTGTAGGAAACTTTAGGTCAATGGAGGATGGTGTTTTATTTGGCGGCAGGCATTTGCATAGGGGCTAATTTGTTTTATGTTGCTTTTGCTAGTGCTAAAGAAGTATCTTGGTCGAAATCTCAACGGTCAGGATCAGTTAACTGACAGGCACTTTATTTAGCCATGTTAGTTGAGGCTTAGAACAATTTATTTTTTTGACATTCCTTTATTAAGTTGAAAATAGCACAAATTGTTATAGTATTTATGAGAAAAAAATTAGATTTTATAAAGCCAAATATGTGATTTTAAAGAACGGGAAATTTATATTTTATGTAAAACGATATTTTGTGTACTGACTATTATTGTTTTAGGGGATTTTTATTAATATTTAATTATTGTAAATTGCCTTTATGATTTAATAAACTTTTTGAAACATTTTCTCTTTCTGAAGCAATTTTAGTACTGATTTAAGCCAAATACTTATCGATTATTGATTATGCATCCAAAATACCTGGAATAATAATTAAAAACGATGTTATCTTAAGTGGACATTATCAAAATCAATCAAATTGTTATTAAATTTGATAATTAATACATTTAAAACTATGACTGCAGAACGTTCTAGTAAAAATGAAAAAGACACATTTACAGGTAGGTAAATATAACTTCTAATACAAATAGTTGCTTAAATTATTATTTATTTTTTTAGTTGAAGACACTAAAAGTCTTCTAAAATGCAGATACATATTGGCATTTCTCGGATTTTTCGGTTTCGCCAACGTCTATGCTATGCGAGTCAATTTGTCTGTAGCTATTGTAGCTATGGTTAATCAGACAGCTACAGCGACTCAAAATGGAGTGATTGATTCATGCCCTACACCTAATTCTTCTACAATTTCTACATCATATTCTGTAAGTAGAAAAATGTCATTGATTTTTTGATTTTGTTTTGAAAAATATTCAACTTTGCAAGGCTCTCTAACTGTATGGCTCTATTTGGAATAAACATCATGTGATTCATTGAGCAATATTTTTTTTTCGAAACAGAGCCTCTTATACTCTAACGAATTCTCTTTAAAAATCCCAAGTTTTGTCACTCTACAGGGAAATTGTAATTGTATTAAAAAAATCTTCAATCTTAAAGGTCTCTAACTTTTTGAAGACAATCTGTATAGAGGCAAAATTTTAAAATTTAATAGAGCATTTCATTGTTTTTTAGAGGCCCTCTCGCCCATTGTGAATATTTTGAAATAAATTGTAACTTTATGTACAGGGTAGTTTTTGAATTCCTAGAAAAATGGCTCTATTTCCGAAAAACACCTTGTAAGTGGAACAGAATCTCTAAAATCCCTTATAAAATATTCCCTACTGTAAGTATACAGGGTGAATGCAGGTTCGAGAAAGCATTGAGGAAGTTTGAAGAAAATATGGGAAATTATTACGAAATCCTGGAAATTCAAGGGAAGGTTGCAACAAATAAAATATCAAATAATAAAGATAAGACTTCTCTTATAGACTATTATCAATTTTTAATCCATATTTACCCCAGATTCTAAATGATGAATTTTTTACACACAGACTCAATTTTTCTTATTGAACGGTTGACAAATTTTTTTGAAAAATGTTTCAGTCTTCACACCTCTTATGGGTTTTTGGTTTTCTGTCAAACTCAATAAAATTTTGATATGTGGTATATCTTGACTTCCCAATAAGAAGTTCTTATAGGCCCAACCCGATACTAGGTAGTTTAATGTCCAAGAAATGTACACATTTATTCCTCTGAGGGTTGGGCCAATGAGAACTTTCTATCACGAAGTCAATACCACACATCAAAATTTCATTGAGTTTGACAGAAAACCAAAAACCCATAAGAGGTGTGCAGGGTCCTCTGAAACAAATATAAATTGAAGCTTCCTTAGAGTAATATTAAGTTTTAGTCCATATTTACCTCAGATGCTGAGTGATGGTTCTTCTTGCACACAGACTACACTTTTTTGGCAATTGAAAGTTTAGCAATTTTTCAAAAAATGTTCCAGCCACCAAAACGACTTCAAATTTGCAGCAAATGAAGTGTGAAGCTTCCTTTATAAGGCCTCATATATTTATATTCAATGTTTGCCTGAGATCCTGGCTTATGGCTTATGAGGCTTTTGCTTATAGAAATCTGGAAGAAAAAAGCTTAATTTTTCATTGGGACATTTGAAAATAAACTAGAGAAGAAAAGGGAAATTGAAAATATCGACAAGAAACTTCTCTAGCTATTTTTCTGCTACAAATCGAAGGTTTGAAGGGGTAACAAAATTTCCAGATAAGTTTTCCTTGAATCGAACAAATCTACTTTCCAACACAAGTGCAACCAAATCTTGATTTTTTCAAATTCTTGAAGATTTAAATTTATACAAATTTCAATCAACTACCCACCCACTAAAGTTCAGAAGAAATGAGAAACGAGAAACTATGATGGGAAGCCGCAGCAATAAGAGAAAGTTGAAACTATAAAAGTTTGGAAAATATGGGAACTTATTAACAAAACCATAGAAAGTAGAAGGAAATTATTTTGGAATTTCCAACTAAAAAACTACCGAAAGCGCATAAATGAAATTTTGAGGATCTATTCTTGAAGGTTTGAGGCAAAACATACTAAAAATTCAAGGCAATTGAACCTCTAAATAAGAAAATTATGATTTTTCTAAATTAGAGCAAAATAAACATTAACAAGGCTTGATTTGTGAGTTTTAGGGGCCTGGAATATACAAAAATTGAGACGAAAAAAGTAGAATTAGACAAATTCAGAAATTTAAAAATCTACTTTTCCACACTAGCACTAGAAAGTAGATCTTTCTGCATCAGAAAATTAATGGGAAATTGAATTTTTTCAAATGCTGATAGGAAAAGAACCTGATTTTTAAAAAAAAAAAACGAAACCTCAAGAGCCTGGAATAGACAAAAATTGAGACGAGAAAAGCAGAAATGTAAAGAAATTAGACAAATTCAGAAATTTAAACTTTAAACATTGACTTTTCCACACCAGCACTAGAAAGTAGATCTTTCTACATCAGAAATATGATGTCTATTTTGTAAAATTATCCATTATGAAAACTCTCTTTTGGAAAATGGAAATACCTAATTAAATTCTCCTTCAATTTGAAGTATCACAAAAAAAAGCAAATTTCTTCCGCACTAATTGAAATTTTATTGAGAAAGAATCTCTGGAATACACCTGCAATCCATTTGAATTCTAATGCACGTCTACAACAATCACGGTGTATAGTTTGAAGAGAAAAATAAACTTTTTGGTTTGAGAGACGAAAATAGCTTCAGAAAACAATTTGCAGTTTTCAAAGACAAAAATTATTTCTAAGAAAATGTCATTTCATTCTTCCAAGGCTTGAAAAAGAAGAGAAAACCCTTTCACATATACCTAATGAATGTTCTATAATCCAGCTTTGAAATTATAAAGCATCAATATTAATCTTCAAGGAAGGAGAATTCAATTGGGACGAAAAAACTCAAGGAATCGTCCTAGGAGCCTTTTTCTACGGCTACGTGGTGACCCAAATTCCCGGAGGAAGATTTGCTGAACTTTACAGCAGCAAAATGGTATTCGGCCTGGGTGTTTTGGTAACAGCTGTTTTCACCATTCTAAGTCCCATTGCAGCCAGGATAAATTTCCCTTTATTCATCATTGTGAGAGTAATTGAAGGAATGGGAGAGGTACTAAATATACTAAATTTTTTTGATTTTTTTGAACAATTTTGTTGCAATAATAGGGCGTCACTTATCCAGCGATGCACTCAATGTTAGCCAAATGGATACCACCACTTGAAAGAAGCAAAATAAGTTCATATATTTATTCAGGTATCTAATAGCAATTGATTTTTCAAATAAACACCTAAAAATTTTAGGGGCACAATTTGGTACAATTATATCACTCCCTTTATCAGGCTGGCTTTGTTCATTAAAACTATGGGGCGGTTGGCCTTTAGCCTTTTACCTATTCGGAGGTATTGGCCTTGTATGGTATATTTTTTGGTTGTTTTTGGCCTACGATTCACCTACAACTCATCCTAGAATCGACGAGAAGGAACAAGCCTATATTTTGAGTAATATTGGGCCACAGCCAGAAGACAGAGGCCCAGTACCGTGGATGAAAATGGCTACTTGCCTACCTTTATGGGCTATTTTGGTTACTCAATGCGGCGCTAGTTGGGCCTTTTATACGCAACTAACCGAGTTGCCTACTTATATGGCTCAAATATTGCATTTTGATATTCAAGCTGTAAGTAACTACCTTCATATATATGTAAAACTTATAAAATTAAAAAATAATTTCCAGAATTCATTATTATCTGCACTTCCATATTTCACCAGTTGGCTAACAGGGATGTTTATAGGAACACTTGCCGAATGGCTTTTGGCTAAAAACTACATTTCTCTGCTGACTTCGTATAGGATTTGTAATTCTATTGGTACAATAATCCCTTCAGTAGGTTTGCTAGGGGTGGCTTTTGTAGGCTGTGACAAATTGGCAGTTCAACTATTATTGGCCATTACAGGGGCCTTTTATGGGGCCCTTTATTCAAGCAATAATATCAATCATATGGCTTTGAGCCCTAAATATGCCGGTACAATGTTTGGAATTACAAATGCTGCTGCAAATATAACTGGGTTTTTGGCACCTTATGTTGTTGGATTGTTGGTCAATGGACAAGTGAGAATTTTCTTGTTACTGCTGGATAATATTTGATGCAATCTTTTCTAGGAAACTTTGGACCAATGGAATAAAGTGTTTTACCTTGCAGCAGCAATTAATATTGCTTCAAATTTGTTTTACATCAGTTTTGCCAGCGCTGAAGAGGTACCTTGGTCAAAAGACAAAATCGTAACCCAAAAAGAGCAAACCAAGCGCATTAAAAAACACTCAATCGCCTTAAGAATGAGAAGAAAATCAAAAATCGGGTAAAATTTAATTTGTATACAAACTTACAACATAGTAAAAATACCTTTTAATCAAAAATAAAAATAAAGTTACCTTAATGTCATTAACTAAATCAACAATTATTTAAAAAAAAAAAAATCTAATCCCTACTAATGTTTTAAATCATTCTTTGGCGACACAAGATTTGTGGCTGTGGCAGAGTCAATTCCCAAAGCTGAAGATAACAATCTGACAACACTTTTAACATCCGAGTTTTCAGTTTCTGAAAAGACAATTTAAATTATTTTTCAACTAATCAAATCAATCCATTACGTACCTTCTTTTGTAAGTTCCCTTTCCAACTTTAGTTTTTCCTTGCACATAGCCAACATGCCTTCTTCAATAGTGCCTTGAGAAATCAGCCTGTAAACTGTAACAGGTTTGGTTTGGCCCATCCTGTGACACCTGTCTTCTGCTTGTTTGTCATTATAAGGATTGAAATCTATGTCATGTATAATAACAGTGTCCGCACTGGTAAGATTAATGCCTAAACCTCCAGCTCTAGTCGAAAGTAGAAAGATAAAAATGCTTTTGTCTTCAGTGTATTCGTTTATAAGATCCTGCCTATAAAATAATTAATTTGTTAATTTGCATTTAATTGCCTAAATTGGTACCTTATATTAACAGCAGTACTGCCATCTAATCTCAAATATTTATACTTTTTCAATTGCAAGTAAACCTCTAAAACATTAAGTAGAATAACGTATTGGCTAAAAATCAAAACTCGGTGGCCTTCTTTTTGTAGTTGAGGCAAACACTTATCCAAATACATAAATTTGCCTGAAGTAAATATCATACTATCTGGTAGCTTGAATTTATTTAAACACTACAAAAAAAAAAATATATCAATCAACAACCATTTACCACAAACAATTTACCCTAAATTGTTGAGACATTGTATGTATTTCGAAATCAGATTTCCACTTTAAGTCTTCAACAATATACTCAATTACAGTGTCCTTGTAACCTGGATCTTTTGCAAGTAATTCGGCAATTTGCTGTAGCTGGTCCAGACCGTAATGGTATCGCATCAAAAGCGGATGGTTGCACAATTTTCTCAAATCGGTCATAATACTCATGCCATTATAACTAGAACCTTCTGGCTGCAATAATAATTATTAGTTTAAATAATTATAAAATGAATAATTTACTCCAATATTTTTGTAGGCAGCTACTAAGTCTTGGTAGTGGCTTTTTTGGGCGGGACTCATCAATACTGTCACAACCAGGTCGGTTTTTTTGGGAAGATCTTGCAACACGTCACGTTTCAATCTTCTCAATACAAACGGTTTCATTATTCTCTTGGCCTGCTCGATTTGTTCTCTTTCAAAGGCGGGAACCAAATCTTTGTCTTTAACTTTCTATGGAAGATTATTAAATAATAAGGGGGTTGTTGGTAAATTGGGCTTGTGCTTACTGAATTTTTTTGGAAAAGGTTTTTCAAATCCTCGGTTTTCTCGGCAAACATTTTTGGCATCACGAAAATCAGCAAAGACATCAGTTCTAGTAAGTTGTTTTGTAGTGGGGTGCCTGTCAGCAATATCCTATGTTTGGCCTGAGATAAATTTAATAAAACTTACTATAGAAGATTGATTTACAGGTTTTTTATTCAATATACAACTACAACATTTACAGGTCTCGGAATTACTGAAATCTCAACAGGTTTGTAAAGAATTTAATTGGCTTTAATTGGAGTTTGATTACATTGAAATCGTATGAAAATTAACGGAGCTGTGAGGCAAAAACTGTCTTAATTAACAGGTTTGTAGTGAATTTAATTGGCTTCAATTAGAACTCAATTATACTGAAATCGGATGCAAATTACCAGAACCGTGAGACAAAAACTCTCTTAGTTTTATTTTTGGAAAATTTTCTGTTTGATAATTTCAATTTGGAAACTTCTCAGTAGGTGTAACTGTTGAAACCAAATTGAAATCTTAAAATTTAATTGGCTTTAATCAGAGTTTAATTACATGAAAATCGGATGAAAATTAACCAAGCTGTAAGGCAAAAACTGTCTCAGTGTTGTTTTTAGAAAATTTTCAATGTTTGATTATTTTAATTTGGAAGCTTGTTAGGTGTAAAACTGTTGGAACCAAATTGAAATTTTAATTGACAGGTTTGTAATGAATTTCATTAACTTCAATTAGAGCTTAATTACACTGAAATCGGATGCAAATTAACGGAACTGTGAGGCAAAATCTGTCTTAGTGTCATTTTTGGAAAATTTTCAATGTTCCATAATTTCGATTTGGAAGCTTCTCAGGTGTAAAACGGTTGAAACTAAATTGAAATCCTAATTAACAGGTTTGTAATGAATTTAATTAGCTTTATTTGGAGCTTAATTATATTGAAATCGGATGAAAATTAACAAAACTGTGAGGCAAAAACTGTCTCATTGTCATTTTTGGAAAATTTTCAATATTCGATTTTTTTAATTTAAAAGCCTCTCAAGTGTTGAAACCAAATTGAATTCTTAATTAACAGGTTTGTAAATTTATTTAGCTTCAATTAGAACTTAATTACATTGAAATCCGATGGAAATTAACGAAACTGTGAGGCAAAAACTGTCTCAGTGTCATTTTTGAAAACAAATATACAATTTTGTCTAACACAAAACCGTCAAAACTCAACAAAAACTATCACAATAACCCAAACCCAATAAAAAATTTCAAAAATCCTGTTTTTCTTGCCGACCCTGTCTCAAATGTAATGTTATCAAATTCAAGCATACAGCTATTCGAGTAAAATTCAAAACCAAATACTTACATTGATCCTAATTAAATTCTCATATCTTTGAGTGTTCATATTTTTCAACATATGAGCTTCGTCAAATATCACATACTGAATCGGAGTCACCCTAAACATTTTCCTTTCTTCTGAACTATTACCAACCATTGTATACCTAACAGAAAAAAAATGCAACTCAAATTTATCATTACATGAAAATTCTTACGTGGTGACGATAACATCGAAATCCTCCAACATCCCCCTGGCAAAATCAAACCGAAATTTTCTGCGCTCCTCAGTACTACCAGAATACATAAAAACCCGAATTTCCGGACACCACCTGGCAAATTCGTTTTTCCAATTGTCCAAAGTTGAAGAAGGTACCACCACTAAATGCGTACTATGTGCCTGGCCTGTGATTTTCAAATAGGCCAAAAACGCTATAATTTGTACTGTTTTTCCTAGGCCCATTTCGTCGGCCAATATACCGTTGACGCGTTGCGAGTATAAAACTGCCAGCCAATTTAAGCCAACCATTTGATAACTTGTTAAGCGTAAACTAGGGGAAAATATTGATGAATGGAAACATAATTGATGAAAAAATCCTTACCTTGATGATAAATTCCTGGGTTGTTCTTTTACTCCAGCCCCTGCAGCTAAGGCCCTTTCCATTTGCTGAGCCAAATTAGTACAGCGTTTCATTAGCTGTCTAATGTTGCTTCTAGTAGATAAAACTTGCTGAGCTGAATTTAGTAAATCTGTGCTAAGATTTTTATTGCTTTGCAATTTGGTTACTAAATCTATCCAGTTACTAAAAGGTCTAGATTCAATCAAAGCTTCGGCCTTTTTCTTGGAACAATAATTCATCAATTGTAATTCGTTTAGGGTGGCAGTTTGGAAAAATTCCATTACTCTTTTTTTGTCGCCAGTTAGTAAATTGCTGATTTCGGCGTCAGAATCTTCGTCGTCGCTGTCGAATACTCTTGTGTCTTTGAAGTTTTGGTGGCTCCCGGTACTGTCGTCGCTATCGTAGTCTCCTCGCCGTTTTTTAACTGAAAAATCAACCAATTTTTTTACAAATATTTTCCTCATTTTTTGTCTATTCCAGGCCCTTGAATTGTCTTTATTCAGAGAAGTAAAGCATTTTTGCTTCATAAATTCTCAATAGATTTCCAATAAATTCTTCTCAATGTCATTTTGAAAAAAATCGGCTTTCCAAAAAATGACATTGAGGCTTTACAGAATCGAAATTATTGAAGCTGTATTGAAATGATCCATTAGACATTTGTAGAGAATTTGATTGGCTTTAATTCAAGACTAATTACGTTAAGATCGGATTGAAATTAACAAAGTTATGAGGTAAAATGTGTATCAATGTCATTTTGAGAAAACCAAATTTCCAAAAAAATTACACTTAGGCACGTTTTATTTTTTTTCAAGGAAAATGTCTAAGGAATTGAATTGAAATTTTGCAAGTGGATGGAGAAAAGATTGAAATTTAAGAAAAAAAATAGGAATTTCCTTTTGCTCATTCACTTCAATAGAAATGAAACTCAAAAGACTTTGAAGCGTTGCAGCTTCGAAATTATTGAAGCTGCATTGAAATAGATCATTAGACATTCCTAGAGGATTTAATTGGCTTTAATTCAAGCCTAATAACGTTAAGATCAGATTGAAATTAACAAAGTTATGAGGCAAAATGTGTATCAATGTAATTTTGAAAAAATCTAATTTCCAAAAAATGACATTGAGGCTCCGCAACTTTGAAATTATTAGAGCTGCGTTGGAATGAATCATTAGACATTCGTAGATGAAAAAATGACATTGAGGCTCCGCAGTTTCGAAACTATTGAAGCTGCATTGAAATGATTCATCAGACATTTGAAGAGGATTTAATTGGCTTTAATTCAAGCCTAATTACGTTCAGAGCAGATTGAAATTAACAAAGTTATGAGGCAAAAAGTGTATCAATGTCATTTGGAAAAAATCGACAAAATATTATCTATTGCTGCTCAGAGTTTTAAGCATCATAATGTAGATATTTGATGGAGAATGTACCTATGCGGTAAGTTAGATTCACCGCACGATCATCAAATTACAATATATTTTTGTCAGTTACTTGATTTATGTGAAGGTATTTTTTTTAAATTCAGAATTCAGTAGATAATATCAATAACATTGACGCTTTATCAATTTTGCAGCAAATATATTTGATAGTTATTATAAAGTTTTATTATAAGAATAACTGAGAAAATCAAGAGCCAAGAATAAATAGTTCAAATTCTGATTATCTATTGATATTGCATCACTACAAAATTTTACTATAAGAAATCAATGATTTAGATGTTGATTATTAGTGGCTTTTGATTCATAGAACTTTTTTGTAGTCAAAATATTGTTTATTATCCGCTCTTGAATAACTATAAAAAATTTCTAGAGTAAATCATGAGTCGGAAATAAATCAGATTTTAATCATTACTGACTGTTGAATTACTAGAATTTTTTTTTAGAATAAATCAAGAGCTGGGTAGGTACCTACCTATGGTTTAGCTTTTGATTATTTCCAACTCGTGATTCGTTAGATCATTTTTCTAGTCAATGTTTTGATTATTACCGGCTCTTGAATCACTAGAAAAACTTTCCAGAGAAAATCAAGAACCAAGAATAGTTCAAATTTTGATTTTCAATGGCTCTTGCATCAATACAAGATATTTTTATAGGAAATCAAGAGATGGGAATGCTTTAGTCCGGTATTCATAGTGCCTACTTGAGTGCTGAGGATTCCTTGAAGGTGACCTTCGCAGTAAATTGTCTTGCAGAGTCAAAATTGTCAAGGCGTCCTTACGCCGCTCATGCGTATTTCGGCACATTTCCTTCCTTGACTTGAGGAATGTCCAGAGGTCCCTTGAGACTGGTTTTCTAACCTATTGGTGACAGCACGTGAACCTAATTGGTGACAGTACGTGAACTGTATTTCATTGATGTGCAAAGTTTATTTTAAGTATTGTAATTAGTATGGATGAGCTGGAAAATTTATTTGCAGAGATAAATGTCGCTGATGATGATAACCGCGTGTGGCTAAATTCAGCTGGTATAGGCACCGTGGTGGAATGGTAGAAAAAGCAGTATTAAATTAAACAGGCATTAGCATGCATTAGTGAGTCGATAAATCACTGCATCCGTGGCATTGCAACATTTTGGTGAATTTAGCCACACGCGGATTGTGCTGCCGAGGCCAAGAAGGTACATTCAAGAATCGAGACATGCAGAATCCATTAGGATTCTAAATTAAAGAAGTAGTCCATGTCTCAAAGTGGAGTTGAAATTCCAAAAGAATACACAAAGTCTTCCTCCACAAAATACTTTGATCAGTTAAAGCGCTCTACATGTTTCGAGTCAAGAAGCTCTCTTCATCAGAGGCAAGTTCGCTCACATATTACAAAAGAACAAAGTATTTTAGGTCGCTAGACTTCGCATTTGGTAGAGGAAAAAGAAACAGAAAGTTGAAACACCAAAAAATTAATAGATTAATTGTATATACACGGTGTAAAAAAAATAGTGTACCTGACTTCGAGCTTCGAGGGGTAATACTACATATGAAAATAAGAAAAAAGTTCCTATGAATATGCCCTAAGATGCTTCCTGAAGAAGTTACAGCCCTTCAAATGATAGATGAAAATAATAGATTTTATTTATTTTCACGAATATTGCATCAGTGCCAAAATATTTTCCTGGAAATTTGGTATTCTCTCATACATTTCGATACCAAAGCGAATGGTAAAAAAAATCGTAACAGTTCCGAAAGGGTAGTTTCAATAAGGGTAGAGGGTAGTTTAATCACAAAACAAAAAAGTATCTTAGGGCATATGTTCATAGGAACTTTTTTCATTATCTTCATATGTAGTATCACCTTTCGAAGTCCGGTACCTACACTATTTTTTTACACTCTGTATAATTTTCGTTATCTTGAATTTTTAATAATAATTGACTTCGCTACGTAATATTATTCTTATTTTGTCAATTATTATTCTTATATCGCGAAGCAACTTCATGGTTGTCGGTTATCTACAAAATGGTCAAGGAAATACAATTTTCATCCCAGGCAGCCTGTTTTCCCCATAATAATGGATTTGTTTGGATTTAATTCAGAATGAGGTCTGAATTGAACTGCGCTTGCGCATTTGTTTATTTATGTTCTTTATGAACAAATGCGCAAGCGCAGTTTATTTCAGAACTGATTCAGAACTAATTCCGAACAAACCTAATATGGCGTCTATTTGTTTATTTTCAACTATGACTCTATGCTGAGCTGCCATCTGAACCAAGAACATTTTCTCAGTCTCAGTGTACTTGATCGCCATAATTACTTGCGCATGAATTCCACAGACAAATCACATTTTCTACAGCTATCTGACCTTTTTCTCATAGAACCATATATTAATAATGACAACTTAATGACAATAACAATAGACATTTCGTAGAAACCGTTGTTGCCAGTTGCAAAACTTATAGTCCAGGAGGTGGCGCCAAAAACATGCAAGAGTTTTCGCAAGGCGGATATTTCCAAAATAGGTCGTACTTTAGTGCTAGAATGCTAGTGTACAGTCAGCACTCACAGTTCCGGGACAGCTGGCTCTGGGACGCGGGCAAAGTTGTAGTTTTAAGAAGCATCTAAACTGTTTTCTCAAAGCTCAAAATTTATGGAAATTTTGCACATTATCTGTTTGAAGGTCACAGATAACGTATGTAAATCGTCAGACGTCTAGTTCGTTGCAAAAAGGGGATCAGACGTCCTCAAAGTTTTTATTTTATGGCATTTTCTTCAAATATATTTGTCAAATACCTGCTAAAATATATTTTGATAGGACGCCCAAGAAAATGCCATAAAATAAAAACTTTGAGGACGTCTGACCCCCTTTTTGCAACAAACTAGACGTCTGACGACTTACATACGTTATCTGTGACCTTCAAACAGATAATGTGCAAAATTTCTATAAATTTTGAGCTTTGAGAAAACAGTTTAGATGCTTCTTAAAATTACAACTTTGCCCGCGTCCCAGAGCCAGCTGTCCCGGAAATGTGAGTGCTGACTGTACACTAGCATTCTAACACTAAAGTACGACCTATTTTGAAAATATCCGCCTTGCGAAAACTCTTGCATGTTTTTGACGCCAGCTCCCCAACTATTATGCCAAGGCTTCCTTCAATAAGGATTCTTTAATTCGCTACTATGAAACGCCAAAGTCGCATATCATCAAGGCGTCCTTATTCAAGGCGACCTTCAAGTCACGAGGAGTCCTTAATTTGAGGTGTGACTGAGAATACGGGATGTTGATTATTAGCGGCTTTTGATTCAAGATTCAAGATTTTCTTGGAGGAAATCAAGAGCCACGTATGATTCAGTTTTTTACCAGCTCTTGAATCACTAGAAAAACTTTCCACAGAAATTCAAGAGCCGAGAATAGTTTAAATTTTGATTATCAATGGCTCTTGTATCAGTACAAGATTTTTTTATAGGAAATCAAGAGGTGGGAATGATTTAGATGTTGATTATTAGCTGTTTTTGATTCGTAGAACTTTTTTGTAGTCATAATATTGATTATTGAATAGGTATAAAAAATTTCTAGAGAAAATCATGACTTGAAAATAAATCAGATTTTTATCGTTACTGACTCTTGTATTACTAGAATTTCCTTCAGAAGAAATCAAGAGCCGTTAATAGTTCAACTTTTGATCACTACTGCGACTTTTGAATCACTAACTGCACAGGTAATCAAGAGCCAAGTAGATATGATTCAGTTTTTGATTATTTCAAACTCTTGATTTGTTAGAAAAATTTTCTAATAAATGTTTTGATTATTATCGGCATGTAGAGGATTTAATTGGCTTGAGTTCAAGCTTAATTACATTAAGATTGGATTGCAAAATGTATGTTAATGTCATTTTGGAATGTTTTTTTTTTTTTTTTTTTGAGGTAAATGTTGAAGGGGTTGGATTGAAATTTCACAAGTGGATGGGAAAAGGATTGAAAATTAAAATTCTTGGAGCTACTAAACTGTTAAACATAAAAGAAAACCTCAAAAACCTGGAATAAACACAAAAAGTGAAAAACATTACCTTTTTTTCTTCCATTTACAGTAGGTTCTCCTACGGCAGGTCTTTTATTACTATTACTAGTACTAGAAACTTGAATTTGCTGTTGCTGATTGGTCAATGTCTTGTCAAACTCTTGTTTCCATTCGCTGTAACTACTATTTTGTATCATTGCTCTATTGTAGCTTCGCGACAATTCTGCTGCCGCTGCGTCAGTATTGAATTGGTGTTTTGATAAAATATCATGGATTTTCTATAACAAAAATATCAACACATTTTGTATTTTTTTCTTGAAGATTGAATAGTAAAGGTCTGTTCACATAGAAATTATAAACCAATCAAAGTGTTTTCAACCAATGAAACTAGGTTTTGGATTTCTGTGAGAACAGACTTGAAGCCTCCAGAAAACTTTCACATCAATAACAATGGGATATTAATATCATTATTACCATAGCTTCTAAATTAGGAAATATTTCGAGTAGGAACTTCATTTGCTTCTCTTTTTCCACAACCGTAGAAGGTTTCTGATATTGTCTAGAAAACCCATTCTGGAACGTGCACGGTGCAGCCTGAATAATTTGTGTTCGGACTGGAGTTTGAGGCAATGGAGCTTTCGCATGGTTTTCAGTTTCAGAATCCGAATCACTTATCAAATTTATTATACGTTTAAATTGGACAACAGGCTTTTCTTGGGCTAAAATTATTCAAGTTAAATTGATTTTATTAAAGGTAAAATATTACTTACAAATGTTCAATGTCTCGTTGGACTGGTGGTGTGAAAGTTGAGGTTTTTTCTGTATCCGAAAGCCTCTTAAGGCGACTTTAGGACTGGTTTCTTCGGCCATGGTACCCGAGTATTAGCTCAAGCTAATTTTGTAATAAATAATTAAATAACTTATAAATTATTAGGCTTTTTTCAAGCTGAAAGAAACAAGAGCAAATAACAAGTACAAAGCCAACTATATGGCAGTTTTATGGTGGAGGAATTTTAGTTGGAAGGTTGGCAATACGGAAACTGTCAGCGGTGTTGCTATTCTAGTTAAAAACTATCACTGTTGCCACACTAATTAATTGGAAATTACAATAATTAATATTATTCAGGCAATAAAAATGGAAAAATTATTAAATTTTCATTGAATAGTATAGTATTACTATATATATAGTATTTGTATTGTCAATGAATGAAGATGTTCAAATGACAAAGTAGAGATGGCGCCATTATCGCGACTAATTATTTGGTAGAAACTATTTTGAGAGAAAATTATAGCTAAAAAAAACTACTTACTATTAAAATATAGCATATAATAATCATTAGTTAATGATTTCATAAAGAAAATATGCATGAATAAGGAATTTTTAATTAATTCGCTTTGATGTCGGTAATGTAGATTACTATCCTTAAAAGTCAAAAGCAGAATAGTATCGAAAATTTTCGATAGTTTTGAACCTCTATCGACTGTCATTCAATTCAATCAAATTATTTTTCCTGCTTGGTTTTTCTGGAAAATCACTGCTAAGTTAATTTTCCAAATTAAATTTAAGGAAAATGTCCGCACTAGTGAAAAATATCCGCTCTTTATCTAAGTCCTCCTCTTATTTAAGATGCTTTTCAGTGCGGCCACTAACCGTAGCAGCAAATAAACTAAGAAGTGCCCCCAAACATACCCCCAACCAGAGCCTCTTTCTCACAACCACACAGGTAAGATTCCAATTCATGCCCCACTATTTCCAACCCCCAAAGAACAAAAACTCTCCCCAAAAAAATTACATAACTCGCCTTTTAACCTCACATTTTCAGTTTCGGTTTTATTCCCCCGAAGTTGTAAAACCCAAACCAACCGAAGACGAAATCAAAGATCGCGTGCTCAAAGTTGTCGCCTCGTACGATAAAGTAACAGCAGATAAGGTATACTCACTGTTCTTTTTCTATTTCAGAGACTCGTATTGCCTCATGAGCGAAGTTACAGTTCCAAACCTCCACTATCATTAAAACTAATCGCCGACAGGGTGATTTTAGTATTACAATTGTACGATAAAGTCAACCCCGAAAAGGTACGGTAATTTTGCTTATGACGGTATTTATTTAGTCTCTTTTGATTTGCTTATTAATCAAAAATTCATTGTTTAGTTGAAATTGGAGTCACATTTTATCAACGATTTGGGTTTGGATTCTTTGGATCATGTTGAAGTGATTATGGCCATTGAGGATGAATTTGGATTTGAAATTCCTGATGTTGATGCTGAGAAACTTTTAAGACCTGCTGATATTGTCAGGTAAAATCCTCCACTAATAATTATTACCAAAATAATGCTTTTCTATTGTTGTAGGTATGTGGCAGACAAAGAAGACATCTATGAGTGAATCAAGAAATTTTTAGAATTTATTTTAGATTATTTATATTTAAGTTCTCCTCTGTGTAAAATGATTTATATTATTATTTGAATTTATCAATGGATGGTGTAAATTTCAAAATAAAAAATCTTTTATTGTGTAAGAATAATGTTTTTGTTAAATAAAGTCTTGAAAATTATTAATATCCACAGTTTTTACCAACGATTTACTGTAGAGAGACTTTTGGTTTCAAATGGCATTTTGCAGTATTTTTCATGCAACTCACTATTTACAGTTTACAGGATTTTTCATTACAATAAACAAGATTGTTACAAGAAAGTCAAGTGACATTTTACAATCTACAGAGTTTTTAATTTAGTTTGTATGGTGATTGAAGGGTGTTGGAATTGCTGTAGAGTATCAACTTGCCATTCTACCTAAAGTTCGCCTTACGAGTCTAGCACTATGGAAAGAATGTGGATAAAAAAATTGTAATATTGCCTATTTGACTTCCAATAGAAAATACCTCAATATTTATCTATATTACACACCTACATTTATTAGGAAAAAGTTATATTCAAAAACGTTGCGCGCACGCCTATGACAGGCAGCATAAAGCTCGAAATGAATGGTGTTATTTCCCCTTGCCCTTCAGACGTCGTAGTGCTAGACTTGTAAGGCGAACTATACATAGTGCAGTTAGATGTTAAAATCATTAAATTTACTATAGATAGGCTTTTGGTCTGAAGTGACATTTTGCAGAGTCTACAGGATTTTGGTAACATTTTTCATAAAACTGACACAATCTACAGAATTCTTTTACATACATTTACATTAAAATTATAAAACTTGGGTATTGAAAATTTTGTTCCACTTTTCAAGAATATGCAGGCATTAAGGCGAGGAGTTTTTCACCTAACAAATTTTGTAAGTACACCAATTAACAGTACTGAGATATTTCCATGTATTACCAGATATTTCTATATAGGTATCTAATAACAAGTTATTGTTAACTATTTTCATGTATTTACAAAATATTTCGACATATTGCCAGGTATTTCCCTAGTGTTATCACATATTCAGGTATTGCCATGCTATTGACAGACTAGAATCAAATATTTGTCTTGCCAGAATTCTAGGTATTGACATATTGACAGGTATTTACATGTTATTAATGGGTATCCACCAATGATATTAACAGATATTGCCTAGATAATATCTACAAGTATTGATGAAGTTTTGCTTGCTTATTTTCCCTACAATTATTATTTGAATATGCAAATTGAAAAGGGAAATGAAACACAAATATTACTTATCGAAAAAATATTCTCTTTATTATTTCAAAAAGGTGTCAGTATAGAACTCACTCCCATGCATCACATTCATCAAAAGTTTTTTTAAAACTTTCCTCTTCTTCTCCTTGCTCTTCTTGAATTGGTTCACAAGATCTTCTGGAATTTGAGAAACTCCCCCTATAAAAAATAATCAAACTTATAGAGTCAAATTGATGCTCAATTACCTTGAAAAGTATCAAAGATACAGAATACATTTTTAGTCTTAAACTTTATTAAAATGATATTTTCAAATGGGCCAAATTCAAGGTTGACATCACCCACAAAGACCCACTCATACAAAAACCAAAAAACCTATATAAATAGAAAATTCTAGGGACAATTCTTACCCATCAAAACTGTCATTTTTCCTTCTCTTAGTCGCCGGAGGCGCATCGAAAGATTTACGTCTCTTCTTCAAAGGACTGGGTAAAATACCACTTTGCCCTTTCAACTGAGCCTGATGACGCGAAAAAGTCGTAATCGAATACGAGTCGCTTTTGCTCAAAGTTTTCAAAGCTAGAGCCGCTTGTTCGCGCTTATAGAGCCCTACATAAGCACTAGATTCACTCAACCAAGCAATTTGAACATTACCTAGCAAAAAATAACAGGCTTTGTTTATTAATATATCAAATTAGTAAGTTTCAATTACCAAATGGGCTAAATAGTTGCAAAATGTTGCTGACTTTCCATTCTTTGGGAAATGTTAAATGAAATACGTGTTCTCTTGAAGGCATTACTAAAAATAAAATTTGCAATTAGCCAAAAAAATTATAAATACATACAATAAGCTTACAGTCTTGTCCAGCTAAATTAATAAACTGATTATCAGTCAAGTACATTAAAGTTATCTTATTCAAATAAGGATTAATGAGCTTTATTCCAGAATCATCAAATATATCACTATTAGGTAGGTTCTTAAGTGAACCTAAATACTTCCACATGGCTAAAAAGCTGAGGCCAGTTATAAAAGAATCATAGCCAGCTTCGTGCTCTTTGACATTATTCAAGTTGTAGCCTTGTGCCCCATCTTCTAGCTCTACAAAATAATTGTAAACCAACATTCAACTAAATTTCAAAAAAATTACCATATTTTGGCAGTTTATCTGAAACGCTTGTCAGTAATTGACCCAGCACTGTTGACTGAACAAATTCTTTAAACGGTTCAAGGCTTGCCATGTACTTGGTGTCCAAAACCCTCAAAAAATTAATTTGTAATTTGATAATTTTTGATGTAATTTGAAGGTCTTACTTTGCGAATAGCGTATTGGCGCATTCTTTGAACATCAAATAGTCGTCTGGAAGAGGCGTCAGGAATTTGTCAATTGTGTGTAGGAAATCCAGTAGGACATTGTGTCCTACTACTAGTTTATTCTTAAAAATGATTTTATTATTGGTTTTTACAGTTTTGAATTAAATTTTCTTATTCCAGGCTCTTCAACTTGAAAGCAAATGGAAGATTCAAGAGCCTGGAATATAGAAAAATTGGAAAGAAAATTTGAGAATTTTTTTAAAGAGTCAAGGAACAATCAAAATCATGAAAAATTATCAAATTTCCTTAAAATTCTTGTCTCTATTTCTCTTTTCTTTAGTTTCAATTTTCAACTATTCCAAGCTCTTGAATTTCTGTTTCCATCCAAATTTCTTTGTATAAAAGAACCAAGAAACATTCAAAAGCCAAGAATAAAATTTCTTTTTATAAAAGAATCAAGGAATCAGGAATAGTCAAAAAGTCTAGAATAGAAAAGAAAAATGATCAAGCAAAAGTTCAAGAGCCTGGTATCTCGATATATACCTATATATGAATAGAGTAAAATTTCAAGAAAATTTTGAAACTTTTAGGGTTGAAAGAGGAAGAAAAGAAGCTCATCGTAATGAAATTTTAAATTAATTTCATCAAAAATGGCAACATCAAACATCAGACAATCTTGAAAATCCATACAGTTTTAAAATATGTGTACTTACACATTTTATGGAGTTAACTAAACCTTAGAGCAGTTAATTGGTCAAAATCTGTACGCAAATTGGTCAAAATACCAGTAAAACTTAAAGATCTACTTAAAATCCCTGAAAATCTTTAAAAATCTAACAAAATTTTATTAGCAAAAAAGAATCCAGCAAAGTCTTATAGAATCATTCATATTCCTAAAAGATATTCCTTCAAAATTCCAAGAATCCCTAAAAATCTATTAAAATCTCTATCCTATAGGATCTCTAAAACCTCTTCCAAATTCCAAAATCACCTTAAGTCTTATAAATGTTTTTAAAATCCTGTAAACTCATGTGAAGATTGTGTGATGTGAAAATCTGTGTACATATTTTAAGGAATTAACCACCTCTCGCCTGGAATGTACAAAAATTGAAAAGAAAAAATACTCTATCGCATCAAAATTCAACTAGAGAATTACTTAAATTAGTATTTCTGAAAATTTTATCAAAAAATTATTCAATATCTAATCTAAAAGATGTAAATGAAATTTTGTGAATCTGGCCTAAGGAAGTTTTCCAACATAAATTTTGATATTTCTCAAGAATAGATAGGAAGTCTAAACATGTGACACTTAAAAATCTACTTACAGAATCAGCAATCATCCTAATAACCTTGCTGAATCCAATATAATCCTCCATTTCTTCAATTAAATCATTGTATCGTTGCTGCTGAACTTTAGCCTGTTGTTCAGCACTTTTCAGTCTTGTAGCTACCAATATCCTGTCTTTTTCTATTGCTTTAGTTTCCAAACTAATTGCGTTTGAAAATTTAGTTTCATTAGTCTGATAAATGAGCTTACGCAAAAAGGCATTGCATTTGGGCAATTGTAGCTCAGATTCTTCTGAGTCAAGAAATTGTTGAAGTTTCAGACAAATATCATCAATAAATTCTTGATGTTCTTCAGGTATAGATAAATAATTATTTGTGGTTGTTTTTTCTTGCTTCTTAACTTGTTCCTCTTCAAGATTCTTTCTGCAAAAATCTTCTTCGTCCAGGTTCAAATAAGGAATTCCTTCTTTGAACAATTTATTGAAGTCAAAGCCTTGCTTGATTAAAAAGTCAATGCTGGTGGTTTGGCACAAAAAACGTTGGTCTTTTACTGATTTATTAAGAGGCTTACGGAAAATATAAAAGTTGTAGCTTTTGTGCTTAATTTTATCTGAAGCCTGGTCATACCTGAAGAATGTTATTCCGTATTGAATAACCAAAAATTCCCTACAATCTTTAATAACTTTTTCGTAGTATTCAGCAGGAGTATCGAAAGCCTTAATACAGTTTGAAGGTGTTTTAAGACCGGTAAGTTCACAGTCAATGCTTAGATATGTGCAATTAGTAATGTCTTGTTCAATTTCGGGCAAAATTGACTTAAAATCTACAAATGTTTGAATTTTATATGCAAATATGTAAATGAATTATTAGTACATACTTGAATGGGTCACTTCCATGGTAATTGAGTTATTTTTCAATGGGAAAATATTAAAAAATAAATAATGCTGTTGAAAACAAAAACATGGAATTCTAACCTCAAAAAAAAATGTCAATGTGAAGTGAAGTTAGCTGTCAGTGGTTTTTGTTGCAAGTTGCTAACTTCATTGTGTTTATAAACGAGTCAACCTAACCTCACTTTTGTTTTTTAAAAGTTTTATTTTGAGGTATTTTTCCTTTTAAAATGCCTCCCCAAACTCCAACTTTAACAAAAAAACAACAAAAGGCCACTTTATCAGCGAAAAAAGGGAAAACTAAAGTTACCATACGGAATGTATTAGCTACGCCATTCAAAAAATATTGGTAAAACAGTTTTATGATTTTTAAGCTAAGTTAATCTATAAAGAACATAGGGCTATTAACGCGGCTATATCTTAAGGGATATTTAATCTAAGTAGAGCTTCGAATGTGACTCTTGTAGAAGCAAACGTCATATTCAAAGCTCCACTTAGATCAAATATCCCTTAAGCTATAGCCGTGCAAATAGCCCATAGAGATACAGGATATTTCCTAACTAGTGCGGAAAGTATCAATTTTCCGCACGCACGATTTTAGTTATATTTTGTGCTTATTAAACCTATTCTATTGTCTGGCTAGAGAATCTTGAGTTACAGAAGGAATTTGGATAAAAATGTGCGATGTTGCCAGTCATTATCAATTTTCGTGAACGAGTTTCAATATGATACACTCTCGGATACACTTTCAAAAAATTCTGGATGCAGCTGGGTTTTTCATGAATGAAATCTGCCATTTTTTTTTTATACGACTGCATTCCTCTTACCAATGCCCCGTAGCTATAGATCCGTTGGCCAGACAAGACAATATACAAGGATAATACACACTACTAAGGACTGCTTATCAGCCTCGTCTTTGATGATCGAGGCCATGTGGCATATTCATATAGCATCATCGCCGACGTCATTATTTAAGTCGTCAGCTGTTTGCGCCAGCGGATGAAAAATTTATTTAATTTTGATTAACAGAATAGGAAGATGCAAACCTCGATGCAAACAAGATCTAAAAAAGAATTGTTGTACAATGATAATTATGGCCATTTCCACCAACTATTTTAGGGAAGCCCTAATGATAGGTATGCTTTAAACTGACATTTCTCCATGTAAAAAATGTCATTTTAGGAAATACTTATCGTGGTGGAAACGGCCATTAATGCAGTAAAATCAAGTGTGCATAAAGCAAAAGCCCGCGGAACACCCTATGTCAAGGCGTGAAACGACATGCTGCCTACGTCATCACTGGTGCTTTGGTGAGGGGCTAGAGATTCGAACTACACAGGCCTTATGAGGATAGGGTATCCTCCTAGTGTGTATTTTTCTTGTATATTTTGGTACCTATTAAAGTATTGTCTGGCCAGGGGATCTGAAGCTACAGAAGGAATTTTGACGAAAATGTGTGATGTTGCCGGTCATTGTCGATTTTCGTGTACGAGCTGCAATAATATGATAATAAACCTTCAAAAAATTCCGGACACAGTTGGGTATTTCATGAATGAAATCAGACATCTTTTTTTTTTTTACAGCTGCATTCCCCTCACTGATGCCCCGTAGCTTCAGATCCCCTGGCCAGACTATACAGGGTGTCTATTTTAAGTGATACCACTATTGCTATATCTGAAACGGTGAGAGCTACAAGGACGGTTAAATTAGAAAAAAGTTGCCTTTTTTGATGCCCATTCAAGGCTTGTTTACAGTGTTGCCAAATTCCTTCTTGTTTACGAAATACAGGGCGATTTCTAAAAAGCGCCTAAAATTATTTAATCAATTATTTCGAAAACTATTGATAAGTATTTGACTTTGAGACATAATTTAAATTTGAAAGTTTTTAAATTTTTTTCGCTCTACAACATGGCATCTTCAAATTAAAAATCCGACGTTTCGTGATCGAGCTACCATCATTAACTTAATTTTTTTAAATACGGACCTGAATTTTTTATATCATTTTTAGGAAGGGTAGGAAGGGCGCTTTCTAATAATGACATAAATAATTCCGGTCCGTATTTAGAAAAATGAAGTTGATGATGATAGTTTGATCACGAAACGTCGGATTCAAAATTTGAAGATGTCATGTTGTAGAGCGAAAAAAATTATAAAATTTTCAAATTTGAATTGTGTCTCGGAAATCAATAGTTTTCGAAATAATTAATGAAATATTTTTTGGCGTTTTTTGGAAATCACCCTGTATTTCATAAACTAGAAGGAATTTGGCAACACTGTAAACGAGTCGTAAATGGGCATCAAAAAAGGCAACTTTTTTCTAATTTAACCGCCCTTGTATCTCTACCGTTTCGGATATAGCAATAGTGGTATCACTTAAAATATACACCCTATTGCCAATTTTAGATATCTTTACTAGTGGTACTTTCATGACTCAACCCTAAAATACGTGCGGAAAAGTGTGGTTTCACACACGTTTGTAGCCTCATTTTTGTCTATTCCCGGCTCTTGAATTTCAGTTTTCTTCAAATTTCTCTGAATAAAGATGAATTATGAGCCCAAATAGAGAAAAATCAAAACAATTTATACCTATTTCTACTTCTCAACTTTTCCTCAATTGCCTCTCTCCATTTTTTAATTTTCATTAAATTTTCTCTCTTCAAACTCAGCTCAATTTTGTGTTTATTCTCGGCTCTTGAATTTCTGTTTTTTTTTTTCTAATTTTTCTGGACACTCAAGAGTTTTGAAAATCGAGCTGAATCATCCAAGGTTGGTTTAAATATAAATAAAATTAAAATACTTAAAAATTGAGCTGAGACACTCAAGAAATTTGAACATAAAGTTGGGACATTGAAAATTAAACTTATCGCTTCCAAGACATTAGAAGTCAGCTGAAAATCAAGTTGAGAAACTTAAGAACCAGATTGAGACGATTCTTTCTTCTTCTCAATATTCCTCCAATTTTTTTTTCCTATTTCTCAGTTTTTATTGAATTTTCTCTTTCATGTATCAGTCTCAAATTTTATCTATTCCCGGTTCAATTTTAATTTTCTTCAAATTTCTCTCAATAAGGAGAAATCAAGAGCCTAGAATAGAAAAAATACATAATTATATGTACATAATTCCAATCACATATCAATCAATTTTCTTCTCAGTTTCAGATTATCTATTTCTCAATTTTCATATAATTTCTACTCAAATTTTCTGCATTCCTGGCTCCTGAATTTCAATTTTCCTCTAATTTTTCTAAATAAAGACAATTCAAGAGCCTGGAATAGAGAAAATATTTATATTCCTGCATGTCAACCAATTTCCCCCAATAATTTTTAAGTTGATCTTAATCTGCTTGAAATTTCACTGTCATTTACCTCTCAAATCATCCACAATCAACCCTGAAGATATCCAAAAATCATTGTTACAGAATCAAACCTATTTTAGGCCTTTAGTTTCACAAGACCAAGCAACAATTTTACACGAAGCCATATCCAAAGAGCTACCGAAAATAGTGTTGGATAAACTAAAAATCCCTTGGCAGGAGCTCAAAAAAATACCCAAACAAGAACGCAAACAAAAACAACCAACCCAAGAAATAAGGTATTTAATTAATCATTTGAAAAAAAAAAAGCATTTTATAATTGAAAAATTCCAGGCAGGGTTTAGCTTTTGGTATCAACGACACATCTAAAGCTATAGAAAAAGGAATTGCCAGCTCGATTTTGATCGCCAACGAAGTCAAACCAAAACTAATGGTGGAACATTTATTAGATTCAAGTGTATTGCTAAGAATCCCCACTTTAGTAGTACCAGGGTTAAGGGACATTTTGAAAACAACCTGTGGCATTTCAAGTGCCGCCTTAGCTTTAACCGACACAGAAAAATTCAAAGAGCTTCAATTAATTGTAAAGAATTTACATGAAAAATATCCAGTGCCAAAAAGGCATATTAATTATCAAAGGTCTTTAATTGACGAGGATCAAACAAATAATCAATCTGTAGTTGTTATTGAGGATGAAGATTGTCCAAAAACAACTGAGGATTCTGTTATTGTTGTTGAGGATCCTATGGTTGTTATTGATGATGACAATGAAAAATCTACTGTATATCTTTACAGAGATAGTAAAAATAAAAGAGTATTTGTGCCGAGCAAAAGTGATGCTGGGCCAATAATTGGAGAAGTTGCTACCAATTTATTTTTATCATTATGTGATGTTGATTCTCCACCTAAGAAGCTTTACAAATCTTTAAAGGTTCGGAGGATTAAAGGAAATCATAATCGGAATAAGATGAAAATTGGACAAATCAAAGAAAAGAGGACAGGGAAGAAAAAGAAAAAGAAACAAAAATAAAAATAATGTAGATAATAATTTTAGGTCTTTGTGAGAAAAATATAAATATAAATTTTGCATAAAAGACCCTGTTTACCAGTTTTTTTTTTAACACCTTTACAGCCTGCACTTTATACCTTGTACCTATTTGCCAAAGTTCCACAATGGTCCCTATGAATTATATCATTAGTTTCCTTGAAATTTCAATAGTTTCTATTGTCCCTAATAGAAACTTCCAGATGAAATTTTTGGAGTTTAATTTTTGGGAAATTCCTAGATAGAAATAAAACACTAAAACTTCTACAAAACTTTATTTATTCACACAAAAACTCCAAAAATAGCAATCAAAACTCGTAGTTGTATTGAACATTTTTGGGATTTCCAAGGGCATTGCAATTAATCTAATACTGGCAAATGCCGCTAAGAAACCCCAAATTTGTCTCAACGGCTCTAAGTTTCAATAAACCAAAAACCCAGCTGCTTGAAGTCTTATCGGATGAAATTTGCCTCTCACAACTTGGGACTTAACAGGCCAGTAGCATTTTTAAAATTAGTCAACTGAACTTATAAGGCCCAAATCGTAAAATACATAATTTGTAAGTCTCCGTAAGGTATCTGAAATTAAAAAAAAAATTATAATTAGCAAAAACAATTTTCTTGATAATTTTATGGTCAATTTGCAAAAGGCGAAACAAGTGAGCCATCAAAATCCTTAAATCCGTTGAACTCAAGTTATTTGAACTATAATCCACACCGTAAATGTTTTTACGGCTCAGGCAGTAAAATAAAGGCGAAATTTGCATATAAGCTGATTTGTTTTTTGTTCGTACGTTTGTCTAATTGACGATATTTTATCCAGTTTATTAACTAGAGCTTATCTACCTATGCAGGCAAAAATTAATTAGTCTTGAAGTCTTCTACAAATTTAGTAGAAAAGTTATCGTTCCAATTAAACTTCCGGCTACACGTTAGAATAACCATGTATAGTGTTTTTCCCAAGAATGTTAGAAATGTCTCTATTAAGAATTTCGCCCCATATAAAGCCCGTAGATAAAAGTTCAAGGCTCCGATATTTTCTTTAACGCGCCGCTAAATCAACCGGACTGTTAATCATTCAATAATAATTATCCGGGCAGGAAAGGCTACGAAAAAAACCAATGGGGAATGTTTCAGCGGAAAACATGTTTTTGCTCGGTTTTATTCAAAATAGTTGTTTTGATGTATGAAGTCGTATCTCTAGGTACAGTTAGGTATTCTCATAAATAAACATGCAGTTTTGCTTTGATTAAATTTTAGGCTCATTACACACACCTTGATTGTTTTAGTTGCAATGGGGACATTGTGATTTTTATTTTTTTTTTAATGTTGGTCCAACTTTAGTTTCTAGTTGTGGAAATTTCTCTCTTTATCTTCATCGTTTGAATCATCTTTATCTTCGTCTTCTTCTTTATTTTCTTATGTTTCTAGAGTCACTTTTCTGCAGTTTCTGTTTCTGTTTTACTCTCAGATTAGTGCAGAGAGAGCAGAGAAAGTTTTGAGGAATTTTGTGCAAATGTAAGAAAGTTCCAAGAAGTTTTCTCTAAGGAAGTTTAGGAAAATTTGAAGAAATCTGAGGAAATGATCGAGAAACGGTAAAAACGAGTAAATTTTCTTCTGCAGACGTAGGCTCTTGAAGTTTAATTTTCCTGAAAAAAGAGATTTCAATCCATAAATCCTGAAAATTTGAAGTCACTGTGATGCCTAGAAGTTTTTGTTAAAGTCCATTCCAAAATATTTCGTTGACTTCACGGCTATAAAACCCTACCATAAATTAGATAGCTATTAGCCTCTATTGTGTAGGTACCAGGTTCTGCTTTGTAGGTACCGGGTTCCTTAATACCCACTCAAAGGTTTACAGGTACGGATTTTGTGCCCATTATAATGAAAACGAAAAAGGCGTTTCATAATATTATTTATTTATGTTATAATCTTATACTATCTTAATAATTACCAAAACTTAATATCTAATACAATATAATACAATACACAATTCAACCAAACCTAATCTATATTTAGTTCCGTTTCACTGTCACTGTCATCTTCATCTATGCCTAAACGGCTGTGGTAACTAGCGTTGTCCATCACAATTATACTGTTTTCTGGTATGTTCGGAAGAAGGCGATTCTGAAACCATTCTTCAAATAATTTTGCATCGGTATCTTGATGATAATCTAATGATGAATTGGCTATTTTTTTTGCGGATAGCAGCAAAGAGTTTGGAACAAAACCATTTTCTGATCCGGCAGGCAAAATTGTAATCCTCTGGCCTTTATTTGAGGGTGCTTTGGTTTGACATTTGAAGGTTGAGTCGCTCCATCCTCTTTTGGGAGTGTCATGGGTATCAAACCATGTTTCGTCAAGATATATTATCGGACGATTTTCTGCTCTATATTGTTTTATGGAACTTAAATATTCTCGACGCCATGCTTGTAATCGCTGGGATTCCATTAGCACTTGCCTCTTATTAATGGTTTGATATTTGAAACCCATTGCTTTCACAATTCTCCAAAGGCTTGTTCTGCTACATAATATATCAGTTTCGTCTTCTATAAGTACCTTTTTTAGAGAATCTATTGTAGGTATTATTTGTTTACTGTACAAATCATAAATTTTCCTACGAATCAACTCTTTATCCGCTTCTTCAACCTTTCTTGACTTGCCGCTGTCACACCGTTGCTTCCTTGGCTGGATGCGTTTGGCTACGATATCTTTAACCGTAGATAATGGAGTTTTGGTTAAAACGGATGATTCACTCACACTTTGATTATGATTATAGCCTCTCTGCAGAAGGGTTAAATAAACGTTCCTCACAATTTCCTTGGCATCTAGCGATAAATGTTTTTTTTTTTGAAATACCACTTCCGGTTGCAATACTACCATCATTTGCCCATGGACGCCACATTTTTTTTGTCAATATAACAGCTCTAGTTCTGCACAAAGACTAAATAATTTAACTAAAACATTCACCCACATTTACATGTACATCTCACCTAGGCAGGTATAATAAATAAAATCAACCCGGACCTGCTCACAGGTAGTCGAAGTTTGTGGTTGAGGGTATCATCAACATTTTATTGATACTTGAAGAGTCAACGAATTATTTTGGAATGGACTTTACAGGCATTCAAATGCGATTCTTATGAGAATTTGATACATCTGTCAAAACTGACATACCAACAATAAACTCACATGTTTTGATTGTTGATTTGAACCAATCAGATTGGAATTACGCGATAATTTGCATTACACCTTTTCCAATTATATTTCAGAAAGTGTCAAATGTATTTCAGAAAAGCCAAATGTATTTCAGAAAGCGTTAAATGTATTTCAGAAGAGTTAAATGTATTTGAGAAAGCGTTGAATGTATTTCAGAATAGTTAAATGTATTTCAAAAAGCGTTAAATGTATCCAGAATAGCCAAATATATTTCAGAAAGAGAAAGTTCGGCGGAAATAATTCAGGAGAGAGGCGACACAAAAAATTACCTACCTATGTCTGTGCAGTTTTTCCTATATGCGTCCGACTTACCCAACAGGAGCTTAATAGCATTTAACTATTTGGAAATACATTTAACGCTTTCTGAAATACATTTAACTATTCTGAAATACATTTGACGCTTTCTGAAATAGGTACATTTAACTATTCTGAAATACATTTGATGCTTTCTGAACTATATTTGGCTATTCTGAAATACAATTGACACTTTCTGAAATACAATTGGAAAAGGTGTAGTGCAAATTATCGGATAAGTGCATAGTAACTGGTACGAGAACTGGTGTTTTGACATTTTTTGACAAAAAATTTAAATTTTTGATTCATGAAATTCCCTCATAAAATACAACTCGTGCAATGGAAATATATTTTTAATTTTTGACAAATTTGCACTCATGCGTTTTTAACTGAAAAAGGCACTCGTGCACTACGTGCACTCGTGCTCTTTTTCAACTAAAAATGCATTCGGGCAAAGGACCCCGCACTAATCTTATGAAATTTGGGTCCTGGCTAAATTTTCTGCCGCTCTGGCATATGATAGTTTTTGAGCTTCTGATTAAAACCTATCATTGCGCAAATCTGGTACCATCGCTAGTTTTCAAGTTATCGGGTCTTTTTTTTTGGTTTTTTGGGTCTCGCTTGGAAACGGTAAACATCAAAAGTATTTGACGTGTATTGTCAATAGGTTTGTTCACACTTCGCACAGAAAACACAAGCCAGTCAAAGCGAATTTGATTGGGTGAAAACAGTCGCAAAACTAGTTTCAACCAATGAAATTCATTCTGACTGGTTTGTGATTTCTATGCGCGAACAGACCTAATAATACGTAATACAAACTTCAACAAAATCTAAAATGCAAACAACTCCAAGATAAATGATAACATATTGGCGTAGGCACCCGCTTATTGAAACACGCCTAGAGAAGTTTTCACTTCAAAAACTGATCAAACAGACTCGAGTTTCAGAACACTTCAAAACCTTTTGACGTTTAATGCTTCCGAGCGCGACCCAAAAAACCAAAAGAAGGCCAAATATCTTGAAAACTAGCGATGGTAGCACTTTTGCGCAATGATAGCTTTTGATCAGAAGCTCAAAAACTATCATATTCCAAAGTTGCAGAAAATTTAGCCGGGACCCAATTTCCATAAGATTAGTGCGGGGTCCTTTCCCAAAAATTATCGATAATTTCTATTGCACTCGATATATTACTATTGATAATTTTTGAATTATCTTTGAAGATACACAAGGAAAACTATTCCAAGTTCTGAATCAACTTGAAATATATTTTTACTAAAGGAAGAGATTTCAATCCATAAATTCTGGAAATTTGAAGTCATTGTGACACATACAAGTATTTGTTACAGGCTCCTGAATGCGATTCTATAGGAAATTTTTTTGAATTATCTTCAAAGATACACAAGGAAGAGGATTCCAAGTTCTGGATTAACTTGAAGTGTGTTTTTCCTGATGGAAAAGATTTCAATCCATAAATCGTGGATATTTGAAGTTACTGTGGTGCCTAAAGTATTTTTTACAG